TTTCTTTGCCTGGCCTTCGACAAGAGGTGGGTCTTGAGGTGGAGAACGAGCTTCAGTTACGAGGGGCAACTGATCTATTACTAGGTGTAGGTGAACCCAAGCTGGAGTATCCTCGAGAGCCTTCAGCTTAAGACCACGACGATAACCCAATCCGGCTCCTCTCTATGCCATTAACCCTGCAATATATACAAGACGAGTCAATACAAATCGACGGTCATGCGCAATAGACACAAATATATGAAACATACCATCCAGATCCACCCGGAGTTGGGGGGACTTCAACAAAAGAACAAAAGAGCGGGCAGGAAGCTCCCTAAGTAGAGTCTTTATATACTCCAGAGCCGACAACATCTCCTCGGGATAAAGGTCATAGTGACGAGGTACCCAGGTCCAATAGAAAGGAAAGAGAGGTTATTTTTCCTTGTCAAAAAAATATTTTTTACCTATAGGGTTTACGGTCACCTTAAAGTAACTGGTTTTGAAACCCTTAAAGAATGCAGTATAAGGTTTGAATAGGGCAACTCGGCCTGCCTTATTAAAGACACCCACTTCGCCTTATCAAATGGACGCGTACAGAAAAAATGCAAAAATAAACCTACCATAGGTTCTATGTAATGAAATTTACAAAGGACCCTGCACGCTTGCATGGCCGCCCACCCATTCAGATGCAGTTGCGTAGGTGCAACGTTCAACACCCTTAACACACCCATTTGGAAGTCGTCAAAAGGGAGTCTAACACCTAATTCCCTGAACATATACTCGTATACATAAAAGGTGTCAACCCCTTCAACCTCCTCCCCTAAAAATACAAAGTCTGGGTGATCGGTCCCATCGCCTTGACAGGTGTTTATTGCTATAGGATACAAATCTGAACCCTTCCACAAAGATATGTCACAGTTATCTACAAAGGTTTGAAGACATTTGTTTCTCTGGAAACGAGAAAAGTAGGCGGCAACTTCACCATGCACCCATTCGTATCCAAGTACGGAACATGAGGGAAAGATAGGTCTCTCTCTTGGGGGGGCTCGCATTCGGTAGAGGTTCATCTGACTCAGCACCTGCTTGGGATGATTCGGCTTCGGCTTTTCCTTCATCCTCCCTTGTAGTAACCTCAGAACTATCCCTATTTGGTCGTGAAGACACTTCTTCAAACCTATCATTTGTGAGGCTCTCGTCCTCGGCAGATGTAGTCGGCCTCACCGGGTCCAACAAGAAGTCCACCTACTCAATTGAACTAGCCATGACGATAATAGAAAAAAAGGAATGAGAGAAGCAAAGCGTACCTTTCGGTTTGAAGAAATAACTATGCAAAAGCGGAAAAGGCAATGCACAAAAGGTACTCTTTGGTGTAGAGCAAAAGTGTGTGAATAGAGGGATGGTCCACCACATATTTATAGAATCTAGGGCTTTAGACAAGCAAAAGGTCACGCCTTCTCTGAACTGTTAGATCTTCCTCAGATCTGACGACAGAAGCTCTACACACGAGGAAACCCTAGCTTCAAAACCCTAATTCATTAACGTTGACGTCACACCATCAATATCTTTCTGCTCACACCGTATACTTGACGCGCACATATCGCCAGAAGAAAGCTGACTACCATGTCGTCTCTTGGCCGAGAACTCCACCAGTGGTTCCAGCCCTTTCACCTTACATCCTCGCTCCACGAGGGGGGCTAGTGTATCAGGTAGAACACTACTTGACCCAAACTGTAGAAAGAAGAAACCGACTACCCCTTCGGCCTACTAAACTTAGATGTTGATATTATTATTAAGCCCTTTTCTCGTATCTCGTCGGGCTTGGGGGGCTAGTGTGCTGGATAGGGCCTTACTCGGACTAACTTGTAGGAAAAGAACCGCCATTCGGTTAATATAACCGAATACTCTTATCAGATTAAAAAGGAGTTAGCGTAATTGATGATAATAACCAAAATATTGTTTATGTTAAAGGGCCAAAACTAATTAAGAAGCCAAAATTAAGTATAACTCAAGTCCATTAACTCATAATAAAGTCTATAAAAGAAAGGTAGTGAGCACGGGTATGAAAAATTTTCTCTTTGGCATATTATTAAAAGAAAATAGTATTTGTTATTCAAGATCGATATCTGACTTGAGCATCAGAGTGCCTTTTGCAGGTGGCCTCTCCACTTCAACAGCGTACAAAAGGACATCATTCCACCAGGACAGAGATTAGAAGATTAGTGTTTTCCCCAGCAGGAACAGCTACCCTTCAAGGTTGTGTATGGTTGTGATCCTTATTTCCTTGCCATGTATGTGGTGCAAGAGAATGACCATCCTTCAATTCAAGAGCTACTCATGCAAAAGGATAACTAAAAACAACACTTGCACAAGGCTTAACAATATAGGAAGAAGTACGTTGATAAAAAGAAGATTCATGTTGAGTTTAATATAAGTGATCTAATTTTGGCTAAATTACAACCATATTTAGACAACATTGGGAAGGTTTCTTGTAAACTATTCCTACTTGCATCTACCCGTAATAATCCAATTTCTCATCGCTCTGAGTTCAAATTATATCATCATGGCAATCATCAACAATTGTATGTTCCACTTCCTATCACTACCCATGACTTCAATCATGTCATGCAACAAGTTGCCATTTTAAGAATAAGAATGGTACTTAGGGGTAATAAACAAATTCAATAGAACCTAGTGCAATGGAAGGGATTGACAAGATCACAAGCTACATGGGAAGACCATTCTGCTCTGATTGATGCATGTCCAGACTTAAACCTAGGGGACAGTATTGATATTAATGGGGGTGATATTATCACATACAAATGATCAAAGGGTAATTGAGAAATATGACATGAAGGCAAATGATGGTACATCATCATCTAGAGATGTGGCAGTTGATCCAACAATTGTGGGCGTGGGCAAAAGTAACAAAATGTGGGTAACAAATTCACATTGAAAGAATTTTTTGTGGGACCATTAAGGATATATACCCATTTAGTGAGAGGAAGGTGTAAAATGAGTGATTTCTTATTCTCTTCTTTAAGGTCTCATCTCTCTTGTTATTTCCTTTTCTCTATATTGCTACTCTTTCATGGTAGCCTACCTCCATTATGAGATACTTATAAACTTTATAAGTAATACTTATTACATCATTGTACACTCTAACTTGTTGGAAAAATTTAACAATACAAAATCACTTTAGATAAATATGGTTATTTGAGAGGTTATTTCTCTTGGTTATTTCAATTACGAGTAGTAAGTGATTAGTTACTTTGTCACATATTTAGCTGCTGATCAAGTGTGCATCATTCAGTATATACATTCCTTTGTATTTTTTTTTATTCCATAGCAATAAAACATTGAGAAGAATACACGTACAATTAGTTCTATATGCAAGATTTCTTTAAAACTCTTGAATTACATTTTGTTTAAAGAAACGTTCCATAAAAAAATATGGCACGGTGGATTGAAAAAGGAAGACATGATGGTACGTATTTCCTATTGAGTGAAAAGCAAAAAATGACTTTGATTTCCAAAAATAAACTGACTATTTCCAGTTTCCTGCCCTTTTCATATGGTTTCACTCGAAGCGTGGTCATCCTTCAACGGTGGGGCTCTCTTGTAGACCAGAAAAACCGTTTGACCCCAAAGAATTAGGAAGAAGAAATCCCCACATAGTTAATGTTGAAACATCTACAATTGATTAAAATATATCTAACATGGTTTTAGCGATAGTGAGTTTGACTTATATATATATTATCTACTTTAACTCCCAATTGTGCATTTTGTCCTTCAAATAATATTTTGTAGCATACAACTGGTTCAGAAATTAACCTAATTAAAGTAGTCAGCAACAGCCCAGATAATATTCGGCTTCTGGGGGAATAACCATACCAAAAGAAATTTTCAATCAGAACTGGTTCCTTCTGGGGGGGAACCTTTGCCCATTTTTTTCACTACTAATTTTTCGCTTATAATTTATATATGCAGCCTTGACACGTGATTACAGGCCAAAGTCAAAATTATCGACAAATCATGAAGCATTCATACGTATATTCGTCCAATAACACAACTTACAAATAATATATACAACCACAAAACTCCACAATTCAGTTTCTGATTTGTCGAATATAGTAATGACACTAACACCAATTATGTATTATTTTGTAGACCAGAAGCATGCTTATATGAATCAATAGAATAGTCACACCTAGCACTCTCCTTTCTCTTTCTCTCTTGAAATGGCTTTATTCATTGCCATTCTTGGCATAAGAATCGCAAGTTGAGGGTAAAATAGAGTCAAATGACAGATATATTTGGCCTTCGCCAGCTTGTAGCTGCATGTTTTTATTATATGTCCTACCACCACCACATGACAACTTCCCACAAGTTGCCATCTTATTCCTTTTGTCTATGAATATGATAACAATATAACCTTCCTTTCCAATTCAAATAGAAAAATATAAACGCAAAATCACTACTTGCATTAATCTCTTCGGAGCAAAAATTCAACCCCATGGCATGCAAGCTTACTAAATAAGGATAAACTTTACATCATGTTGCTTATATATATTCTTGTCATCCAGTTCTCAAATCAAATAATGACATGATTTTTAATTTAGTTTTGCATCATATTCTTAGTAGCGACTATTTTGTCCCTGTTTGAAAGAACTTATTTCAATAAGCTATTCAATATAACTTATTAGAATAAGCCCTTTTTAACTTATCAAAATAATTCCTTTCAGCTTAATTCTAAAGAATGTCATTTTTAAATATATGGTATAAACCCTCATGGGTTAAAAGTTTACTGATCAATAAGCGCTGAACTATTGTTGAAAAGAACATCCACATGTAATTGTTTAATTTGAGAATGTGATAACTTAGATATAAGGAACTCGATCTAAGTTTTGTCCACTCAACAAATGAAGAGTAGAAAGTTTTCCTTGAATTCCTTATAAAGCAGCGGGCTTCCTTGTCCCTCATTCCTTTCCTCTTGAAAATTTCCAACCCCAACACAAAGGATCATGAACAGCACTTCCAATTCTGATGACAACCGTTCAGAGGAGCAGCGTGGATATGCAATTTACTCAGTTGGGTTATCTCTTGCGGTTATCCTAGTGATCACTGCCATAACTCTCATTTCTTATTACTGTAGCCGTAGAAGCTTGCAAAACAGTCAAGTAAGTGCTACTGCCAACACCAGTGTGGAGCTAGATTCTGCCTTAACTATACAAGTTCATCAAGGAGAAGCTGTTGTGAACAGTTATCCAGTGCTATTGTATTCCCAGGCCAAGCAGCATAAGCCTGATACAGAAACAGTAACATCATCGTGCTGCTCAATATGTTTGGCAGATTACAAGGATTCAGACTGGTTGAAACTTCTACCTGATTGTGGTCACTTGTTTCATAGAGATTGCATTGATAGGTGGTTGCAGGTAAACCTCTCATGCCCCATGTGTCGAAATTCGCCACTCCCTACTCCTCTTGCTCAAGTTCCCTTGGCAACAAGACATGATTAGAAGAAATTTAGAGTGGGTGAAGAATCAGCAATGATATTCATACACTTGTATAGTACTTTCACTTCTCTTCCACCTTATTTTTCTCTCTATTTCTTTTATTTTGGTCACACTGGATTCACCTATCACATCTTTTGCTTCTCTGGCTTTTCTTCCTATCTCTTACTAGGTGTATATGCCTAGCGAGTGTATAATAATCATTATTAATCTAGAATACCATAATACCCCCTAACAAAGAAAAAGAAGGGTATTGTAGCCAGGGTAAGCAATCTCAATTAGCTAAGGATTCAATTGGGCTGATTGTATTTGGATGGAGTCATGGAAATCTATCTGACTGGGCCACAACTTGGTGAGTTTGGCTTCGTTGTTGGTTTTCAATGTAAAGATAGTGCAGAAAGAAGCTTTGAAATATTCTGCCAAGAAGTGTAATGAAGAAAATGTTTCATGGTCAATGCAGTAAGAGAAAAACTTTCGAAATCAAGTAGTATCTTAACATTGAATTTGTGAAAAGTAGCTTGTGCTTTTTGTTTGCAAGCTTGAAACACACGGACCAAAAATAAGTGTGTAGTTTTTCATAAATAATGGCAGCATATTTAGTTACTGAGTAGATGAAAGGTAACAGAGTTACATTTGCTTCATCGACGCCTACTACTAAAATCCTACTCCTCTCTTTTTATAAGCAAAATAGATTAAGAGGAGAGTTCTCACGATTCTGGATATGTTATAGGAGTTAGAAATATTTACCATCTTGTAGGAATAGTATTTCAAAGATGTTAATATCTTTTGGAGCTATTTCTTATGTTGATACCTTTTATGGTTGAAGGGACTAGCATTTAGAGGGAGACAAGGCCTCTAAAGTAATTTGAAGATCCAATATGTTACATGAGCTGCTGTTATTGGAATATTCTTGTTTCTCGTGTTTTTGTTACTATCCTTTTAACAAAACGTTAGAAAATAAATAGAAATTAGCCAACATATCAAAAAAAAAAAGACATTCCACATGCTTCTAAATTAAGTAGTTATAAGAATATTCACATCTTTCAACGGGTAAAATAAATTTGTTAAGTAGAAACTCAGGTCCAAACAAAAGCAAATTGAATTTATTAGTAGTAGAATTTTGAACTACTTTACCAAAATGAATTTATCAAAAGGCCAAATCACCACAGATTCAGCTGCCTACAACTGTATGACGCCACTACTTGATATTCTTTAGGACGGAACAGAGGAGACAAATAGTAATGTAATCAAGCTATTCTCATTCCAATTTGGGCACTGACTGATTTGTCCATTTTCTTCAATGATCATTAGACTAGTCTATTGGCATTCCTTCAAAGATGTAAACAGATCAGAACCTCTTCTGCTCCACCAATGCATCCCAGAGAGACCAAATATGTGGTGTTGATACAGTGAATCGTATAGATATGCAGTTCATCACCTTTTATATTATTGTTACAAGACCTCCTTTAAAAAAAATTCGGTATGCAATCTGTAGTACGACGAATTTAGTATGCAGTATACGGATCATTTATATCAAAACAGTAACTAGGGGTGCCCTTGGAGACCTTATTACAAGAAGTTTGAAAGGTGAAGCTATCTCGACTAGACATTATCAATATTATTGGGCAATCATAAGAGTGTGGTGGGTGTTTTAGTTTAAAGAGTTGTGATTTAAAATGAAATTTCTTGATTGCAGGGTCTCCAATCCTATCTTCCCCAGATAGATAGTGGACTATCAGAGTGAATTAAAAGACCCATAAGATACGTGATTGCTAACCTGAAAAGTTTATATGATAAGTTGCTAATTAACTTTACATTAAAATGTGGTATTACATATATGTGTTGCTTGATTTTAGTTGTAGTTAAATAATTTTATTGCAAAAGAAAATTATTTCTCTATTAACTCTATTCAGAATTGGACAAACTCTCACCCTTTCTACATTTTGTATGTGTAATATTTCGTGTGGTGTGGGAATTGTAATAAATGTTAAGGTACCTACTATATACCTTAATGCATTTTATAGTCATGATACCAAAAACACGGCCAGGAAGCTTATTGTTTGATAAATTCGCAATCATGTGTTGTCAGCATTTCATATTTATGTTTAAAAAGAAAATCAAATAATGAGAATAAATGTTAGTAATTGAATCGCGTGATAACTGCCAAACATCTCCATGAAAAACAAAAGGACTCACCGTCCATCATAAAATAAAAATCAAACAAAACTTTAGAATATTATTTTTCAAATTATCTATGACCATAATTACTCTTTTAAAACATGAAAGAACAGAAATGTCATATTCTCGAGTTCATTTTGGTAAAATTAATTTTATAAAACTAGAAACAAACAAGCCCTACATAAATGCAACTCTTTGACTCCTGTATATAAACATAAAGCTCGGCCAAGGAGATTTTCCTTGGGCAATTCAACCAAAGATTATCAGTTATTGAGTGTATAACACGAGGACAGATTGATTGCAGCGCAGAGACACATACTACAAAAGCAACCCCTTTCTTTCTATTTACGGTTCTTTTAGATTTTTTAGTAATTTAATTTTTATAAATTAAATCATTTAAAATTAAATATCAATTATCAATATTTTAACATTTTGTCTTTATCTATTAATCGTTCAAATTAGAATAATTATAGACAGGTCAATTATAAATTCTTTCATTAATCATTTGCATTAATCTTTTTAAGAGGGTATAATTTGTTTAAAGTATGTGGAAATTTGGGTTTAAAAACCATTTTTTCCCCAAAATTTTATTAATGAAATCGGCTTCCAGAAATAAAGTTTTGAAAATTATACTTCTAGAAGCATAATTAAGAAGATTCTGAAATTAAAAATTAATTTTTTTTTCAAAAGTCTATTATACATGCTTCTCAAAACTAAATTCCAGAACTTTATTTTAAACTAAATTCCAAAATTCAGTTTAAAATAAACTTTTCGAAAGTTAATTTCTGGAAGCATGCATGATGGACTTCCGGATATTTGGTTTCCAAAAGTTTGTTTTCACTTGAGTTTAAATTCCAGAATTCAGTTTAAAATGTTTTGTAATCTAGTTTTCAAAAACTTACTAAAGATACTCTCAAAAATTAATTTCTGGAAAGTTTACTTCTGAAGTTTAATTTCCGGAAGCTATACTACTCACCTATCCGAAGCCTTTTCTTCCAGTGAAAAGTAATGAGAAACTATAAATATGATAAATAACTAACACCATTCAAGAATCACACAAATATGTTGGTAGAGCATTGAAGAGTAGTTTGTCAACGGAGGAATTAGTGAATAACGAAATGAGAGAAATCAAAAGAGAAGAACAGAAAAGTGAACGGACAAGAGGAAGAAGGATAATTGAGGATATCATTGGAAACAAATTATAAAAAATATTTATGGAGGTGCGGATAGAAAAAACGGAAGTCGCAAAAGGCAAGACCCTACTACACAAGGTGAAGAGCGAAAAGTAATGTTTTCCTTCAACACAAATCAGTATGGTAACAAAAATTAAGGTGAAAAAGGCACAAGGAAAATTTACATGTTAGCCCCTGCAGAAACATTATACACATTTCCCCCATCCTCTCGAAGCATCTCCATCTGAATCAGATAAAAAACCCACAACGGGTGAACCGGGCCATAGAAAACAGTGAACTATACCTATAGTCCTATACCTTTTATACAGAACCCAACCCAAAAATCTTATGTACCAAATGACAAGGGAAACTTAAAACTCAACCTCCTAACCCGCCGAAGATTTGGTTGCTCAAAGACAAAATGTGTTCAAATCCCTGTTCAACCTATACCCACCGCCATCCCCTCAAAAAAAATTATGGATTTTGACAGACAATCCTGGAGAAGATTAACAGCTTCTCCATGCTTCTTGTAACCTTCAGAAAGCTTCAAGTGCAGCTGGCATATGGTCCTGTAAAATTGACGGATCGAGATGTACATGTTTTACTAGTTGTAGATTCTTACTGGCTTCTCATATGAGTGACGATACTGCAAAATTAAAAAATAGTCATACAGGCTTCCGAAACCCACAATAAAATTAATTCCTGCGACATTAAAATCATCTACGTCTATTCTTGTCATTATCATTTTGTTTTAAATTTATATGCAAATGCATTCATTATAAATTTCCTCCTTCATAAGTTCACTTACTCCTCTTTTAAAATTTAAACGTTATGCAACTTTTATAAATTTCCTCCGTCATATGTTCATTTACTCATTGTCCACTACGTGATAAACCCATTTCATGATAAGAGGCACATAAATTCACCAGCAGTCCATACTAAAAACAAAGAGTTAATCATAATAATATTATACCTGAGTGGCAGTGTAGGACCTTTTAGGAGCGTTGTCAGCGTGTTCCAGCCCGAGATATTGCTCCCATGCACCATAGATATCTCTTCTCTAAACAATCAACATTATAACTTAATTTTGCAGAAAAGAAACATGTTGACTTTGAATTCTACTCATAATCAATCACAGCCAAAAGATAAAATCAGAAAAGGGAGAAGATTGACAGACCTGAAACCGAGTGGAAACAATATCTGAATCTTGAAGGTATTCAGGACGATTAAGTGACAAAAATGCAAACTTCCACTGAAAAGGACCAAGCAAAAGATAAGAAATACATTAATCATTATAGAGAAGCTAAAAAGTTTCCACCAAAATGATTATGGGCAAATAACAGGAATACAATATTGAAACAACTTTCCGCGGAAGTTCAAAATTCAATTACTAGACAATATAAGTAACCATGCAAACCTGATGTCTTAGATTAGACACAATATGCAGTGTGTAGAACACAAAGATCACACTATAATTTATTGTGTTATTAATTAATAATACCAATCATACCAATCTGACACAACCGTAATAATGTGTCAAAATAATAACATGCTTAAATATCAGTGGAAAATGACTACCCACACTTAAAAGCTCAAAATTAGTTTCTTGAAGTGTTTCAAAATCAACTGGACAAAACGAAATTATTAGTCCATTTGTTGTGTCTAAAAACAGCACATAATTCAACATTAGAATATTTACCTTTGAAAACTCCTCATCTGGAACTTGCAACTTTTTCTGTATTCGCAATTTGACTTCGGCTAATGTCTCACTCTCATGAATAACCAATAAGAAAGGATCTCCGAAATTCTGAACTTGCTTTATTTGCAAAGCCCCCCCAACACAAAGAAAAAGACAGTGCAAACGTTAGAAAATTTTAGAGGTAGTAATTTTAAAAAAGAAATTTATTTTAGATAGATTTGGAGTCAAAGCACCTGATTTATAATGTCTCTCAAAAAATGATAAACATGGATCAACCGATCATGAGGGCCAAGGTTTTTCTCTTCTTCAGGAATCTGCAGGAATAGGAAATTGAAATAAAACTATTAAATGGAGAAGAATAATGTGCTAGGAAAAAAGGTACAACACCATCTCAAGACATTACTGACAAACTAGAGATATATCTTTGGGAAAAAAGAATTTAATGAAATGAGACCCATTTTGATCAAGAGATTCAAGAACAATGATGAAGAGAGTGATTTAATTGCTTGAAGAAGGATGAAGATCTCTCCTCCAATCCAAGGATTTCCCCTCGACAATGGATTTCCTGTTTAACAAAGGAGCATTTGCTTGGTTCTCTCAAATATAATTCCTTGAATGATCCCTCTTAACTAAAACACACTTCTCTAACCATCTAAATTGAATCCTTTGCTGTCGCTCTACTCTTCCAAGCAGCTACTGTTCTGTCCTAACAAACTGAGACTAGCACCAGGATTCATAAACCCTTCACTTCAGATGAGCCAAAATTAGGTAACTTCCTAACAGTATACTATATGCCCAAAGCTTTTGCAGTATCGGTATACTTATAACCTTAACACGTCAACTAAGAAAATAATAAGCTGAAAATAAAAAAATAAATAACTTAAGAAATCAACCCATTAACCAAAGAACTCAAGCAACTAGCACTCACTAGAATAACAAATCATGTACATATTTGTTAATAGATAGCTCTTGAAGGATCTCAACCGTTCTCTCAATAAGACAGCTAAATTCAGGTCTGTCTGGAATCCTCATTGCTGCACCACGGTATCCTGCACCGCAGTATCACGCAACAACTTGATCCTCCACATATCAAGCACATTCTCTTGGGCTTTATCTACAAGTTTAATACGTGAATCGCTAGGTCACCTAACTTCCTACTCACTACACACTAACTTTACAAATAAAATAGCAGTAATAATAGTCCTTTATAGAATAAAATCACTCAAAAAATGGTAAGATATAGAAGCAGAGTACAAGACATCATCCAAGACCAAGAACAGGCAGCAGATGTAATAACCACCAAAAGGGTAAGGTGACAAAATGAAAGAATAGGAAGACTTATGTAGCCATTATAGTGACCATAAATAAACTTCATTCCAAATATCTCAGTTAAAAAATAATGAAAAATATATGCAATTTTTTCAAACTAATACAACCAAGAATCAACAAGAATGTCAATGTTAAAGATATAGGCAACTTCTCCAATTTGGTGAAACACAGTTATACATATCCAATCAATATAGGTGTAAAGGGAAGTATCCTCCTCAATCCTCACTTCCTTGATTTTCCTCTATCTATCTAATATTTGTAGCTGACGTCACCTAGTGGGATAACCTAGTGAGATAAGGCATGGTTGTAGTTGTTTCTAATGTTTATGTAAATAAACTCTATTATCTCACCTCCCTCCAGCTCCTTATCTCAAGTGAAAAATGTACATCAGACAGCAGTTAATCTGTTAAATATAGTAGTTTGACAAGCATAGTGATGTCAAATGATCTAGTTTTCATCTCCAGTTTTATCTGAAAATTTTCTTTCTTAAACTACTTCCCTGATTTTCCCCCACCTTTATCATTATTATGCAAGTTAACTACTTTTGCTATCTCACTTTCTCCAGCTCCTTCTCTTGAGTGTCAAAAGGAGAACGAATGGAAGATAGTCTATCAACAAAGGTGGCTTTTGACAAGCCCAATGGGCGTGGTATATGTCATTTCAACATCTCGTATTCAGATAATAATTGATATTTGATAACAACTAATCTTAACCACTAAAACATTTTTTATTAGAAAAAGCATATTCGAATCTTTACCTCCTCTGCTCGAAGAGTCCAATATTGATCATTAATATTATCAATCCTTTCACTGATAGGGAAAATCTGCAAAAGAGAGATCATAAGATTTGTTTAGAAACTAACAAAGTTTGGAACATCTTCTCATTGTTAAGGATGAAAACTGCAGCACATAACTGAAATATAATGGAAATAGGTGATAAGTTAAGCAGGTTGACATGCCTAAATCAAAAGTATACCAGTAGTAAGGCAATATCTTTTCAGTGACTTAGTGTATTGAGATAAGGAAGCTTGATCATGAAATTCAATATTAAATGAGACAAATTTTTCAAGCTGGGATTATATTCAAATAGCCTATTAAGAGTTTCAGATAGCTCAAGCACATCGTCCTGAACTCAAATTTCCAAGCAAGGATTTAGGGGTTTCATTATTTACCCAAGAAGGAGACATGAGATAAAGTAAACAATATTTTACTAATTACTTTGAACAATCCAATGCATAACATTCAGAACCCTACTTGTACCCTAGTCACGTACAAGTGCAATTCTAGTTCAAGCTTGGCCCAATAACAAATTCAGCATACAAATGCTAGATTACTCTCAAAACATATAACTTTGAAAAGAGTATGCATATAAAAATGACTTTTAGACGAACTACAAGCATCATGGACAAAGCACGGCTGTTCCATTGAGCCAGATTCATTGTCAACTAATAACAAGAAAAGAAGTTTAATTATTTTCTTGGTGCATTGTCCAATTTATATGAAATCTTTTGACACATTTGATCGTATGAAAACATTGGGGAACTTATCTCAATGAAATTTACAATTATATAGTTACCCTATTTACAATATTACCCTACTTATTTACATTAATCTCAACAATAAGTTGATGATAACTAGACTTAGGGAATGTTGCTAGAGCATCATGTGCAGGAGAGTCATGAACATATTGTTAGTTTTCTATATACTTTTCTATATACTTTTCTATATGGTATTAGTAGTTTAGGTTTTTTCTCGATCTGCAGCAATTTTTTTTTCTGGGTGAACAGTACCCACGGCCACTGTGCCTTTTTCCTCCGGTGAGCACTGTGACCAGAACCACCTTCCCCGGCGACCACCAAGCTCTGTTTGCCGCTCTGATCTGCTGCTGCACACGCCCGTATCAAACGGTGGGTTTTTCCACTTGCCAGCGCACTCTCACACCCCAATGCCCCTTTTTAGTCCTATTTCAGATTTATTTCTCATCGCTTCCGACAGCTCACACTCAAATACTGCCTCTGCAATAACTTTTTCCACTGTTTTGCTGATTTCACATAAAAAACTGACCAGGACAAGCAACTACAGCTCTTGGGCTGCTTCTGTCCAGCTGTGGTTTGAGGGTTAAGGTAATGATGACCACTTGACCAAACAGACCAAGGATATTCCTAGCAATGATCAAGCCCGATGGAAGCAAACTGATGCCTCTTTGTGTAGCGTTTTCTGGTTGTCCATTGATGTCAAATTGCAGCCTCAATACCAAGCCTTTACTACCTGTTATAATGTCTGGAACAAAGCTAAGAATAAAAGTTCATGGCATTGGTCAAACACGACTCTCTTCTAATCTTACCCTAGATTCTGAGCTTTATATCCTCAGGTGTCCTTTTAATATAATCTTCATCAGCAAGTTCACTCGCACCCAAAATTACTATGTTCTTTTTGCTAATAATTCTGTTCTTGTTTAGGATCGGCATACCGGACAGATGATTGGAGCAGGACATGAGCCTCGAAGATTATACTATCTGTCACAATCGATTGTTTGTCTCTCCATTGCGCCTCCAACTCTTGAGCATCAACGCTTAGGTCATCCTAGTATTACCAAAATGCGTCTAATGGTTCCAAGTTTTTCTTACAGTTCGTCTTTTCAATGCGAGTCTTGTCAGTTAGGAAAACACAATCGTCATACCTATGGTCTTCAAGTTAATAAAAGTGCTTTGTCACCTTTTGTCTTGGTTCATTCAGATATTTGGAGTCCTAATCATATTAGTTCAACTTTAGGTTTTTATTACTTTGTTACTTTCATTGATGATTTTTTCCGATGTACTTAGTTAATCTTAATGAAAAATTGTTCTGATGTTTTTTCTATATTCCAAGGTTTTTCGACTGAAATTCAAAATCAATTTGGTACATCTATTAAAGTTTTACACACTGACAATGCTCATGAATATATGTCTTCCTAGTTTCAATCTTTTCTGAGTTCACAGGGTATTCTTCATCAAACATCTTGCTCTCACACACAACAACAGAATGATCTCATTGAACGAAAGAATTGACACTTGGTTGAGACTGCCCATACTCTTCTTCACCACAATGTTTCTCTTCGCTTTTGAGATGTCATTTTCACAACATGTTATCTGATCAACCACATGCCTTCCTTCGTCCTTAATAATCTGGTTCCTCACTCTCTCTTATATCCAACACAAGATCTTTATTCCATCCCTCTTCGTGTCTTTAGTTGCACTTTCTGCCAAATCTCTCAAGTGTATTTTCGTTGGTTACTCGCCTTCAGAAGGGCTATCATTGTTTTTATCCTCAACTTCAACGATATATTGTTTCTGCTAATGTCACCCTTTTTGAGACTACTCCCTTCTCCACTTCTACTGTATTGGATGCCAATTTTGCAACAAACTCTTTAGAAGTCTCGTGCATTTTGCCTGTTCTGGCTCCAAGTAATTGCTTCTCTACCTCCATTGCTTCAATACCACAGACGGTCTCAAAATCTGGATGTGACTCACTCCACTGATCCTCCAACATCATCTCCTGCTCCAACCACCCCTCCGCCCACGCCTCCTGCACCTGCACTTCCTATTGCGATAAGAAAAGGTATTCGTTCAACTAGTAATCCTAACTCTATGCTTTTACCATTAATTATGATCATTTGTCTCCATCCTATTTCTCCTTTATTTCTTCTTTGGATTACTACAGGTGAAGTCATGGCTGATCCCGAATGGCGTCAGGCAATGGTAGAGGAGATGGCAGCCTTACATTTCAGTGACACTTGAGAACTTGTTCCTTTACCTCTTGGCAAGACAATTGTTGGCTGTTGTTGGGTTTATGCAGTGAAAATTGGACCAGATGAACATGTTAATTGGTTAAAAGCTCGATTAGTTGCCAAAAGATATACACAAATTTTTGGTCTAGATTATGGGAACACCTTTTCTCTTGTAGCCAAAATAACTTATGTTCGTCTCTTTCTGGCTATGGCTATTATTTGTCATTGGCCTCTTCATCAACTCGATATTAAAAATGTCTTATATGGTGAATTGCAGGAAAAAGTTTATATGGATCAAGTCCCTTGTTTTATGGTTCCTGGTGATTCTGGTCTTGTTTGTAAGCTTTATCGGTCTCTATGATTTGAAGCAATCTCCTCGGGCATGGTTTGGTCGTTTCAGTTTTGCCTTGATACAGTTTGGCATGACTAGGTGTGAGACTGATCATTTTGTCGTCTTCATTCATTCTTCTTCTAGCAGGTGCATTTATCTTCTTGTTTATGTTGATGACATTGTCATCATTGGTGATGATGCAACAAGAATTCAACAACTCAGAGCACCTTTCACAACAATTTCATACTAAAGATTTGGGCCCTCTCAAATATTTCTTAGCCATTGAAGTTGCCCAATCTTCTTTTGGCATTGTTATTAATTAACGTAAGTATGTCATGCACATTCTTACTGAAACTGGTATGCTTGACTGTCATCCTTGTGATACTCCTATGGATCCCAATATCAAGCTTCTTACGGGTCAAAAGGAGCCATTGAGATGCTGTGACATGTATTCTTTACATAAAAAATGCTCCGGGACGGGGGTTATTGTATGAAGACAAAGACAATACTAAAATTACTTGTTATTCTGATGCGGATTGGGTAGAATCACTATCAGATAGAAGATCCACTTTTGGGTACTGTGTTCTTATCGAAGGAAACCTAATCTCATAGAGAAGCAAAAAGCAAAACATAGTTGCCAGATCCAGTGCAAAAGCAAAATATCGTGTTATATCAGCAGTCACTTGTGATCTTACGTGGCTTAGGCAACTACTACTACAACTAAAAGTAAGAGACATCTATGAAACAAAACTTATTTGTGACAATCAAGCTGCACTTCACATTGCATCAAACCTGGTCTTTAATGAAAGAACCAAACACATAGAGATTGATTGTCACTTTGTGAGAGAAAAAGTGCTTTCTGGAGAAATCATCACTGATTTCGTCAATTCTAGCGATCAGCTGGCTAACATGTTCATCAAGTCCTTTAGAGGCCCTTGGATTGAGTACATTTGTAACAAGCTCAAAAACACATCACTGTTGAGAAATTTGATCTGTGGCATAAGTTTAAGGCTACAAACCTAGTGTTCCTTTCTACAATTTTCAAAATGTTGGACTTTACTACTATACTACTTTTTTCAAACTGGCTGTGTCATGTTAATAATTCATTCACGTCACCTGTCCAGTATATCACATTTTCAAGAATACCACATGATTTTACTTTTCACCCCATGAAGATACTGAACCATCAACTAAGCAACTACAGGAAATCTTGTTCACTACTAATACCCTAATTCAAGCATTTGAAAGTGAAATTCAAAAACTACACATTCTCTGTACCTTGTAGATCTTGTGATAGAAAACTTCAAGCAATCTAAGTTCTGCATCAGGATGTGATAAATCTACCTGTTTCGCAAAACAAAAAACTGTCAGTTTCCATATTTCTTGTAAGGCAGACATCACAAGGGTACACAAAAATCCAATCCTAAACAATATAAGTTTTACTAATTAAAGTTAGATTAGCATTAGAAAGAAAAGACAGGATAAGGAATCAGATCAGAAAAGAAAGCCATACATTACAAATATATAGAAATTGCAGCCCTATCTGGGCAATTAACTCTATCAAACTTGATATGATGTGATATATTACAGTATGATGATAAAACATAAAGCATTAACCCTTATTTATACTAATACTATACCATAATCCTAACTAAAAATAAGAAGACAAATCATGAAATACAAGTAAATATGGAACTCAAGGCTAAGATATAATCTCTTAGACATTCTAAATTATTCAAATGTGTATAACCAAGATACTACTGGATATTATTCAGATACTCTAATGTAAATCATAAAAGCAACTTTAGAAGAGAGAAATATCCACAATAGAAAGCTGGAATAGATTGGGAACAACTCAGAAAAAAGAACTTTTCCCAACCAAGTATCTTCCCAAAATATAAATTTAGAGTCGTCACCCAACAACAACCACCACCACCAATTTTTATCCCATTTAAGAGGTAGGCACCATGAATTACACACGTCATTGAGCTCAATCAAAAATCAAATTTTCAGAAATTTGGTAAATCAAAAAGTTTATTTTAATAACTTCGTCCAAGGTTTTTTTGGGTTTCTCTCGACCCTTTTTTACCAGACTAAGAATCATGCAATCCATTCTTCTTACTGGTGCCTCGAAAGTTCTTCTTGACCGAACTACCTTAGACAATTTTCAATCATCTTTTACACTAGGCGTTACTCCAATATTCTCTCTTATATTATCATTTCTCGTATGTCCACTCATCCACCTTATGAAATAATGTTAGGAAGCAATTGCAAGTAATGGGACTTGAGTCCCACATTCAAAGTATGAAATTATAGAGTGGGGATTGTAAGACCTTGGGCTCTCTAACAAGAACAGCTAACTTCCTAGTGTGGTTGATAAGAAACTTGGGAGAACCATACCACAAAAGCTGGCCATTGTAAATAGGATCATGTAAGAGATAAACAAGATCACAGTTCTCAGAGAAAGACTCCCAATGAGAGATTCCAGCAATCAACCACTTTGAGGCCCATTCTTCCCAACTTATGAGTGGAAATGCAATTCCACATCATAGGTTTTACAAATAATTTGAAAATAAAGGGTTTAAAAGTCTAGCTCTTGGGTTTTCTCCATTCATTGGATTAAGATTTTATTTTCTATTCTATACAAGGATTTCCCGGTTATGTGTCAAAAGAATTAAGGCTGTGAGAATTAGCAGTATAAGGCATACCATGCATCTTAGGATTTTAGCTTTACTATCAAAATGTGAAAACTAATAATTTGAGTGTTTTTGGTTATTTCCAATGTTGATAAGATCACAATCTTAATCCTCAGATCATGTGATCTTGCGATATCCCACCCTCCCCGCAATCATGATCATAAAGAAGATCTTATCCTGCTAGGATCATGTCAGATTGCAATCTTTCTCCTTTGGATCACAAGATCAATGATCCAATCCTCTTGCCTCAGCTTTTCGGGTTTGAGTGGAGGTTTTCAGGTTGGGTTTTTCACAACCCGATTTTTAAAAGCCCATTTTTCCTCGGCAACATTTTTTGAAAAAACCCATTTTGTACCTGTTCTGCGAAACTGCAATCTTTGTTGCTCTTCTGTTCTTGCTGCACTCTTCTCTTCTACCACCTTTGTCCGTCCTCTGTTTGTCCTTTGTCCTATTGTGTTTGGGCTCATGGCCTCCAATTCCAAGACTGCCAGGAATGAGGTTGGTGGCAGTCGAAAGGGAAAGAAGTGCAATCTAGTGGAGTTGCAGAGAGTGGGACTGACTGTGGAATGTCCTCAAGACCAAGAAATTATGTGGCTTGGAAACCTCTAAATTGCACTTTTGGTCCCTTTAGTTTCAACTATGCAAGATTTAGGTCCTCTAAATTATTTTAACTAATTAAGGTCTTCTATTTTCATTTTAGATCCATATATTTGGTTTATAATAAATTTGGAATATGCAATAATTTTAAAAGTTTAAGTCAAAAATTTGGTAAAATTTCGATAAATTTGAAAGGAAATTTTAGGTTGTGAGGTTAGAGTTCAAAGAGATATTCTTTTTTAAGTAAAATTTTAAAGTAAAATTTGATGTTTGGTCAATGATTTTTGAGCAAAAGGTCAAAAAAGATTTAATCAATTCAATTTGCGAAAATTTTGATTACAAAATGCCAACAATAATTAAGCCATATCCCACTAGGAGAAATTGACTACATGGATCACACAATGCCATTAATTGCAGTTAAAAATCAAATTCTCTAAGATAATATTTATTTCTAAATCTCTTTTAAAAGGATGTGGAATTTTCCAGAGAAGTCATCCAAGACGAGTGACTCTGCTGGATTGGAGATTGTTGCAAAGCAGAACAGAGACAAAGATGAGAGGAGAGAGCATCAAACAAAGAAGGGTAGAAGAAAAAAAGTGGAGAAAAAGTGGGGTTTTGTAATGTGTCTCCAGTAGCAAAGCAGAACGGCAATAGAGATGAGAGGAACGGGTGTTGAAGAGAGAAAGGAAGATGAAAAACACAGGAAAAAGTGAGGTTAGGTCTGAAAACTAAGACTATTATTTTTACCCTTAAAAAAACCTAAAGATTTGTGTAATCATAAGGGCAAAAAGAAAAAATCAGCTTATTTCTAAAAGATTAGAAGTCTTTTTTACCCTTAAAAAACACTAAAATTTCTTCCTTTTGAGGGTAGAAAAGGACAGTTGGTATCTTTCCCTATGGTGCTGCTATTGCACCGCGAAATGCTGCAAATACAGCCACGTTGGTTGCGACAGAAAAAATGCTCTGCTGAGCAAGATGACAACTATGGTTCAGAACTAGGGGTTTGTTAGGATTCAGCCAGTTTGAATCATCAGCATATAAAAACCAATATAGCCCATTGGAATAATGAGAAAATATGACATCATTTTGATTTGCTTGAGTATCTCTCCACTTCTCTCTCTCTTATCTACTTTTGTGTGCACTTGTTGGGATCCAATTGCAAGATGTGTATGAAACTTGAGTTCCCCATTGTAAGTATGGGATTCTAATGTAAGGTATAGAAGGTCTTGGACTCTCCAACTATATCAGCTAGCTTTTGTGATATGGTTCTCCGCCCTAGGTTCCTATCAATTAATATTAAAGCCTTCCACCATGTCTCAGCTACAAATGAGCAGGGTAGCTGATTATATAACAGATTTTTAAACTAAAACTTTATTCTCTAAATTCTCTCGCTCAATACCTAAAACGCCATAATATCAATAATTTCCAATGGGTCTTTTTGCATTTTTTTCACTATTCCATATCTGCATGTGCATGTGTTTGGGGGGGGTGAGAGAATCCTAGAAATTTAGTGAGTTTCTGGATACCTAATCGCAGCAGGGGTGTCTTGGGCCTGTGACCTAGATCACAAGATGAAGTCAAGGAATCGGCCTATTGCAAATGCAAGTTAGGGCAGCCTACCAAAGACCCACTTAGCAGGTCCGACCCTTCCAAGAACCTTTCACATACTGAAAGCACTAGGCTTCCAATTTTTGGCACGTGTTAAGCTCAACTCATACACTATAACCACATAAAAAGTTCTAAAATCCAATTGCTTTGAATAGGGAATTTATCAATGGTAACGAGCTGTTTCAAAACCACTCATACATAATAGTAAAAAAAACCGTGAATTAAGTGTTGAATTAGGCAGGCAAGCTCAAAACACATGCTATGATCTGAAGCTACAAGTTTATGGATTGTATGTGTCTATAACCCATGGGTCTTACAAAACAAATATATGAACTTTTATTGTGAGTTTAACATCATACCTTTGACTTAAGATCATCAATTACATCTGCCACAGTACTATGTTTTGGTAATCTAATAGTATGAATCACCACCTGAACAAGGATAATTTAGTTAGAAGTACAACACTTGCTCTAAATAATTGTGTATAAAATGAAAGTAATAATCAACAGTACTCACTTCATCCTTGGTAGCATGATGGAAAGCAATTTTAAGAGTTTTTAGGCATTGCAATTCTGGCAGAGGAATATCCAATACTTCATAGTATAGAATGTCAGAAGTCTAGAAACAAAACCAAAAGACAATAATTTAGCATATTAGAAGCTTAAGCAAAAGCCAAACAGCCATTTTAAGTCCATGCAACATTATGCAAGAATGTTAGAAGATAACAGCCTCTACTTAGAAAATTGTGCACTCTGTAACTAATGACCTGATTGTAGTGAATCAGCATGTCAGATAAATGTTCCATTCCTCGGTACTTGATAGGCTGTGGTTTAGGTTGCTGAGAGTAGCAGTTATGAGATGTGAGTCTGATTTTGGAAGGATCTTCCAAACCAAGATGTTGAGCAACTCTTTCAACAACATCGTCATAGGCATGAAGCTTTGACCTAGATGATCAAAGAGCAGAATTGAACTACTACCAGTTATACTTCAATTATAAGATTATGATTTAGAGAGAGAGAATAGTAGATTTAAAAGAAACTAACAGCTCAAGACTGAATTCATCCTCCTTTGGTTTCTCCAAAAACCTAAAACGAACAACCTGTACATCAAAGCGAAGTAACTAATTGAATAGGTCAAATTACTAAACTATACAGGAATAATTTCCAAACAGCAGGGCTATTATATTGTGAATGAAATCACATCATCAATTCAGTCACAACACTGTTTAATGTTTAATTTTGGCAAGTCTAATATAATCAATTATGCTAAGAATCTGTTTGCTTTTCTGTTTTTCATAGTCAAATAAAAAAAATGAGAAAGAACAAAACAAACGATTCAACCAGCAGCAATAAATGATAAAAAAAAAAAAAAAACAGTCAAGACCAAAATTCGAAATCCATAACTAAAAAAGTCATCCAATCATAGAATAACAATCAAAACAAGAAATCAAAAATTAAAAGTTAATTTCATTGTTTCCTATACAAATATTTGAAAATCGGAAAAAGAATAAAAACAAGGTAGTAATTTTGTAAATTAAACTAAAAATAGAAAACATTTCCTAGAACCAAACAGCACATGATACTTTTCAAGACAAATTGATACATAAGGAGAACCTGAAGATAGAATTCATTTCACAATCAATAAAGTGTATAAATAACTCTTAGAGCAGGAGATATTGAAATTGAGGAAGCAATTTAAAAATAATATATTAGTCAAGAAGAAATTATTAGTTAATTTAAACAGTTCACACCTGACGGTTATGAACATATTCCAAGAAAGAAGGAACATCTGGATAGCGATATTGCTCTCCACTTCTAGTTTTGGGGGGCTTCTGGAAGCAAATAATATCACCATCCTCAAGCTGCTCAAATCACAGCAGTGAGAGCAAAAGTCAGAACTATAGATGGAAAGGTTTATTATTATAAACCAAAAGCAATATATTGAACACCTAAAGTGAAAATATGAAATATAAAATACTAAAAACATACTTTAAAGCACTAGAAACCCAATATAAAGTTACTCTACTAATTAATACCTGATTGCCACGGAACGTTGAGTTCTTGTCAACTTGTTCACACATGACATGAGGTTCAAATTTTATTTCCTGAATGAGCATAACAGAATGTATGCATTATTTCACTCCATTGATATTGCAATCATGGAACATAATTATACACAATATGCAGATTGACTAACCTCAAATAGTTGTATTTCTTCATCAGGAGCATATCCAGCCATTTCATTTAGCTTTGTCAATATATCTACTGGCTTCCCACTCCCCATCACAAAAAGCCGTCCAGCATACCTGAGGAAACAGAATAAAATACATTTTAGTAATAAAATGTACTCTCAACTCTGATAAGTAATAAACAGCGCAAGTACCGCAGCTTCTCATTGGAAGGTTCATATAGTTTAAAGAAAAGTACGAGCTCCTCTTTTGACTTCATAGGAGGAGGAATAGGCCGCAAATCCTGATTCAGTATCAATGTGTGAGGTATGAGTAACAAATCCATGTTAGTACTCAGTAGTGACTCAGTTGCAAAGGGAGGGAAGAAAATATACTAATAGTCACACCACTGTCCCAGAAGGTGAAATTACCAAGGAAAAATTACCTGCCCCATTTCCAGTTCCAAAAATAACTTCAGCTCCGCAGGATTTACCTTATGGGAAACTTCTCTTACTTGTCCAACCTGCAATGCTCAGAGTGCCACAGCACAATCATATCACACAAATCATTATCAGAAAAAATAAGTTTACAATATACTGGATAAGGAAAATAGCCATTTAAGAAATGAAACTTTCACTACATGTTCAAATGGAATTTTGAAATGAATACTTTTTATTGAAACTTCAAAAAGAATGAAAAAATGCCTTATATAAATAGTTTAGATTAATCTACTAAATACACAGAATCATAGTCTAGAGCACTATCATATTTAAGAGGAAAAAAGTAATCAACTACTGAATATTTCCAAATAAGATAAGACTGAATAGCTTTTCAATCTGCAGCAAAGTGTGGAATGACCAATTCCAAAAGCATTGTAGCAACTTAGCAAGATTGCAAATAGTATGTTGTGGCCTACAGCAAAGACTGTAGATACAAGATAAACAATTTATAATTTTATTATACTATGCATATATAAATGCTCAAAAATAAGAATAATATTCATATTTATTTATTATAATAAGAACATAGGAATTAAAGTTAAAAAACGAATACAAAAAAGCAGAACACATTAGATTCTAATCAGTAGAATACACTGTAGATATGTTAAGAAAGACCAAAGCACATCTGTGGTGGCCAGGGATTAAAGGGCATACACCAAGTAGGAGAATATGAACTGCAAAATGTAAAGAAAAAAATAAAAAGAACTGAGACCTGCAAGCTATGGATGCAAACAGAGAGTTAGATAGTAAGGGACCACAGGAAGTGTGCTGTGATGCATGAACAAAGACCAAAGGGAGAATAAAGATCTGGATGTCGGTGAGGCGAGAGCAGTGTGACTGTCAGAAAATACCATGCTTGACACCAAAGTGATACAGGGACATGGATCAGTAGCAAGAAACAACAGAGGTCACACTTTGTGTTCTACCATCAAAACAGAGGTCACGTGTTTTTTGCATCAAAACATAAACCGTAAATTCATTTGATGCAAGAAGGAAAATCACAAGAGCATCAAAAGACAAACGAGTTCAACAACAAAACAGGTGGCAAATATGGAATTTTTCCCAATAAGATAATGGCTGCGATGGTGGTGATTTGACAAGGAAGTGGCTGCTACTGTCACAGCTGAAAAACACGAGAAAACAGAAGTTCTGTAGCAGCCTAAGGGCCAGTCACTCCACAAGTATAGCACAATACTAATAACAATGAGTCTAACCTGTTCTCTTTTATCAATTATCAGAAATAGATCTACTTGTCATGTTTGTCAACACAAGACTTGTGGTTGGGGACACATCTTCATTAGAATGCAGAAAATAAGCAACCATATTATTGAAGAGACACATCAATCTTCAAAATAACAAACCATAAAGATTAAGAGTAATGTTACTATATTTAATATCAAGCTTATGAAGACATGCCAACCACCCCACTATTTATGAAACATACACAGTATAGGAACCTCTTTAGTGTACTTACTGATTGTGCTTCTTCCTGAGAGGTCAGTGGTCTATTTGGCCTATATGTGTGGTTTTGACGCTTAGCCCACAACCAAAAACGTTGGCACTGGACAGGTATACCGAACTCCTTAGCAACTTCTTCCTGATAAAAGCTTTATTGTCAGAAAGATAAAAAGTAAATTCAAAATCATAAATAGTTTTATAGTATATCAAAAGCTAAAAGTCAATCAACACTATCGCTAGATGAGAAATTACACAGTGAACATGAGACAACTCTGCACAACACTATCCCTTATTCTTGACTACTATAGGGAAAACAAGGACTTGAGTGGCTCACTAAACTCTAATGAGACTTCTTAATTTAAGAATATGCAAGATACACGGAAGAGCAATTTGGTTCCTATATACAAGAATAAGGGTAATTTCCAAAATTATGCAAACTATATAAGGATTAAACTTATGAGTCACACTGTGAAGTTGTAGGAAAAGGTGATTGAACATAGACTACGAGAAGAAACTAAGATTGCAGAAAATCAATTTAGTTTTATGTCAAGAAGGTTTACAAATGAAACTATATATCTTTTACAAAATATGATGAAAAAACATCACTACAAAGAAAAGAACATACATATGATTTTTATTTATTTAAAAAAGACATATGATTAGATACTAAGAAAAGTGTGATGAAGGTTTTAGGAAAAAAAAAACTCTTAGCATAAATTCGAGCTATACAAAATGTATGAAGGGATAACTACATGTGAGAACTTCTAAGGACTTCCCAATAAAAATAGGTTTATATCATGGCTCCGCTTTGAGTCCTTGTTTAATCTAGTCTTAGATACAGCTACAAGTGACATACAAAAGATTATCCATTAGTACATGCTCTTTGCAAATGATATAGTGCCGGTTGAGAATTCAAAAGAAGAGGTTAATACTAATCATGAGTTATCGAGAGAGACTGTAGAATCTAATAGTTTTTGCTTAAATAAAAGTAAGACAGAGTATATGCATTCTAAGTTCAGAAAAAAAAAGATGAAAATCATGCGTTAGAAGTTAAAATTATATATGATATTGTGACCAATTATACAGAATGATAAGAAAATTAATGAACAACTCACAGAATACAAGCTAGAAGGTTTCAATGGAAAAAGACATCAGCAGTTATTTGTAACAATAAAGTATCTATTAAGCCTAAAGGAAAGTTTTACCATACTGCAATACAGCATGTTATCCTATATGATAGTGAATATTAAGCATTAAAGGAACAACACAAAAAGAAAGTGAGAGTGACAGATATGAGATTGTTAAAATAGATGTGTACGCACGAGAAATGATAGGATACGAGAAAATATTGGAATAATACCTATAGTGAAAAAGATAACTAAAAATCGTCGAAAGTAGTTTGGTCACATGCAATGAAGACTTTTAAAGGTACCAGTAAGAAGAATGGATTTCATGACTTTTAGTCTAATAAAGAAAAGTCGAGGAAGACCTAAGAATCTTAGATGAAGTTATTAAAAGAGACATTTTGATTAACCAAAATTCTAAAAATTTGATTTTTAACTGAGCTCAATAGCATTGAGTGATCCAAGTAGTCGACCTTACTTAGTGAGATAAAGTTTTGTTATTGTTGTTGTACGATTAAGATGAAGGCTATTGTCACGTGTAAATTAGAAATAAAGGGTGAGACTGGAATTTAGAAAAAGAGGAGTTATCAATTATTGAGATAGATAGAGGGAGGAGTATGAGAGCATGAATTCTTTTCTGTACTACTTGTGTTATTGATTTCATTTTTGTATAACATTAATACTTAATTCTTAGATTGATTGTTTGCAATAAAAATTATTCATTCATCTCATTCTGGTCCAGTTTTCTTATATCAGTACATAAGTGCGAAATCTAAGAGCCAAATGAAAGAATAGAAATATACATAGTCAAAAAATTAAAGATAGAATGTTAATTGGATTTACATAATAAAACCACTGCTCATACCTTGAAAAGGATAAAAGGCATTTGTTTTTGAATACGAAAACATCGAACTTTATCATGATCCACAAGATCAAAGAATATATCATTTCCAATTTGTTCATGCATATCATCATCACGGGCAACCTGGGACCAACAAATCAATAGCTAATATTGAACTCACTGTATGAACTATGCACACCAATATCATATTATCATACAAAGCATTCTAAGGGAAAATAACTAAAAAATGAAAGCATACTAATATTGAACCTTTATGATGGTGTACAAGTGAGCCTCAGCCTTCTCCTTTCTCTTCAGCTCTTTTTCTTCTTGTTCTTTCTTTAATCTTATCTAAAATATGTAGTTAAAAGGGAAGCATTCTTACATTGGAAAAAGGAGAGAAAAACCACATGACATCAATGAACCAAGCATCTTACTCTGAGGTGTTCAGCAATGTCCTTCTCATCAACATTACAGATTACTTTATCCTTGTCACTATCACGAATATAGACAAGCATATATGCATTTGAGTACTTTGTAAATTTGAAAGGAGAGTTGTTGAACCCAGGATTTGTATGAGGTAACTGTAGACAAACGAAAAATATAATGAAGCTAACAAAAAAAAAAGCACAATGATGTAAGAAAAAGAAAATTCACCTACACAATAAATATCAAGAAAAAATATAAGATACAAGCCCAAAACATGCTTACAGAATATTACCTCTTCTTCACCACCAAATTGTTCTTCTAAAGCCCTCTTTGTATCTTCTTTTGTGACTCGTTCATCGTCAAATTTAAACCTGAAACAAGTAATGTTTTCCTTTCAAATTTGTAATTATAAACAAACAATCAAAGAGACGGATATGAAGATATAAGATCACAACAGTAATACAAATATTTCGAACTGTGTAATCCTGATATAAGCCTTATATGGACATTTAAATGATAAAACATTTACCAACTAATCAAGCTACAAGGACAGTTCTATGCAGCATTATATCCCAAAACCATAAACACAGATGTCAGAACTGTGAGACCAGAATTTGGTAGAGGGAAGAAAACAGCTATTATAAAACAGAATATCATATTTAAATTGTGCTGACTCTACAATTGCGTCTGACCAATCCAAAAGTAGCCAGAGATTATTTAAAACTGAAACAAAGAATAAACAAAGTACAAGGAAAATCAAATAACAATACCCTCTGATCCCACCATATCAACCAGGAAAATAAATATATAAATAAACAGTGATTCATGACACACAACAAATCATATAAATAATATTACAAAAACTTAAGAAAACTCAATATCTCCAGACTCTGATTTTTCATCACTCTCCGAGTCTTATCCTCATAGGCCCATATACCTCCAAACCTTCTTTCAATTCAATGTAACAAACAGGATAAAATTACAATAGAATAAATTTGATAGTAATGAAATTGAATGAGTGAGTCAAAGTGATTAACTAGTCATGTTTACCATTCTAGCATCACTAGTACTGTGTCAATACGTCCCATTACTTGTTTCATGACAAATAAACAAGTGCACAATAAATGGTGAGATGAACATAATAATACATGTATAAACACTGAAAGATTCAACAGAGCATACCACTGATTTGACAGAGTTGGTGTAATGTAAGCATAGTAGTGTCCACCATGCACCCCACCACTGTGAACCAAAACACTGCAAACAAATAGGGCAGACAGGGTCCACATGGGTATCAGCAATCTGAGGCAAAACTGTTAGTAACAGTAAACTATTACACAGTTCAATGCTGCCTTACCTCATAAAATAATGCCACACTCATACTATAACAAGTAAATTCATTTTCAATCTTGTACACATAGGTCAGTTATAAACTTCCTAAACAAATTCTAACTAGCTCATGGCTGCCTCACCTCAATGCTCAAGCTTCACTTAATGTCAGCAAAGCCCAACAAGCACTAGAAGCAAATACCATATTTCATCAGTCAGATGCATATCATCCTTCCACGTCCAAGATTTTTTCATTCCACCATTAATAAAATGTTTATGGTCTATCACCAACAATTATTATATTTTTATCCTAATATCTATCCCCTGTCCCACATCTACCTTACCTTCTTCAAAAGTGCATTGCCTTTATCTACCAATAAACTGCCTTATTCAATGTCACTGTTTTCTGAAAACAGGGTAGCCAATCACAGATGATGAGCAAGGCGCCCAACCCCAAAAATGTTATAGTAGGATTGCAGATAGCAGGATGACCGCTATTTTGAAGACAATCAAAACAAAGAAGAAAAATATTTCAAAGAGCGGTCAATCACCGAAAATAGCTCTTACGCATATGATCTAGCCAAAAAATGTCTCACTATCATAAAAAAATGTCTACATCTTGTTGGATATAGCTTCGGTTTTGCCGGAGATGAAGAAGACCGGAACTTGGCTAGAAATGGCGACTCAGCACAAGAAAGTGACATCAAAGATGGAGGACAAAGTAAGAAAACAAGAGATGGAGGTAGGGTTTGATCTCAACTTGCGAAGACAGAAGAGAAGCACAAAGCATTGCAATGTAAAGGGGGTGAAATCCCAAGATTGCCCCATATAAAGTGTTAAATACATGTAAATATGTAATTTAGAAAAATAGTATCTATGTAATTATAATAATTAGGTAAACATATATTTATTCTTAATTACGTAGGTATGATTGTGATTACCTTTGTTAATATAAATACACAACCTAAGGTGTAGTTGAGAGACACACAGAATTCATCACATACCTTCTCATTCTCTCATCTTAACAAAAAACATTCCAACTTTTAGAAAGAGAGAGCTAACTTGCCCTTTTGCCCCTATTTAATATAGGGGCCACAATTGTCACCTTTCATGGTCGTGAATTGTGGCATGACAGCCACTACTATACATAACCGTGACACGGGCCCAGAATCACTAAGAGGCATCATCTGTTATACAAGAATTTTGTATCTTCACCTACAAAATCCTAAGGCAAATCATGTCTTAAAACAACTTCCTAAGCTTTACATTTTTCCCCTGTAAAATGATGCCTCTTAGTATTTTACGGGAGGCTCATTATCATAGGAAAAAAAAAGCGAAAAGTTTACCAAAATGTTTTAAAAGATATGATTCATATATGTGGGTGGGTGTATCAACAAAGGATTTAATCAATCAAGGGCCTCTCACCTTCCTCATCATCATTGCTGAAAAGTGAAAAGTTTACCAAAATGTTTGTATTAATACCCTTATCACTTAGACAATCAATATCACCAATGCCTTCTTCCATTCAAGTTAATAAAGTCTACATGTTTCCTCACATCTGCATCAAAGAAGAACCTTTTAAAGTACTCTTTAAAAAGTAACTTTCAAGCCTTGATTAGGATTATCACTTAGCCATTCATAACCAAAGTATCTACCAACTAAATGAAATATTAATACAAACTTATATAACCTAAAGAAATTGACTCAATCAAATATGCACGGACAAGAGATTAAAGTGCGAGAAAGAAGCTTATAGATGAAAGGGGAAACAGAATCCGAATCTGAGGTATCTTGAACTTTTGAAATTTTAAACAAATTTTCATATCTAAATTAGATTTTAAGATACCTTTTTTTAATATTTAAAAATTGAATTTTCTTTTATAATAACAGTTACTGAGGAGTGTTTGAGCTGGCAACACAAATTTTCTGATGAGATACATGAGTGTCTAACACATTCCATACAAGTGGTGTGAAGGTGTCAACGTCAAAAATGTGTCTGACAGTATGACACCTCACTTCAAAACCATGTCCGTGCATCATAATATCTCAGCAAGTGCTAGTTATATTGATATTTGATTCATATTGATACTTGAGGCAACCTTGGTGATGTCTTGAAATCAGAGGACCACGATACAGATGATGCCACAGTAAACTTTTTACACAAAGAAAACATTTGGATAGAATATACGGATTCCTCACACCCTCCACATAAGCAAAAATTTTGAAGCCTACAAAGATAACTTTCTCAAGACATCGTGGTAATTTGTCTGATTAATAACCTAACTGATATTATAAATAGGCACACTAGATTATTGTATTTGGGTATAACAACTTGTTATCAACTCCTTGTGTAAACACTAAAATTTCAACAATACCTAAATAATAAATTACTAAAAGATCTCCAGTCAATTAATGAAATTTGAGTAATTTAGGATGGCAAGCAAAGGAAAAATGAGCAGATAGCCTAACTAACAACTATAGAGAAGAATAAATTTTAATTTTGCACAACGCCTTGCTAGAACAAACCACACTTTGCTCGAAATTCTAACATCCAAAACAATCCACTAAAATATAGTACCAACAAATGAAATTGCATCCAAGTTACCAGTCAACTGGGTATGTAAAAGAACCCAAGATGGTCAATCCTGTCATAACCCAACTATCTCAAAAGCTTAAGAGATTGGGTGAAGGCATGTAAATGTTTATTACAACTCTTAACAAATTCTTCATGCAAGAGTATTTTGGACTAAAAGTATGAACAATGCACAACCCAATTTAACTCAACTTTAATTTATAAAAATGAAACTATTGACCACTTTTTCAGGAATGCATCAATTCCACGTCAAGAACCAATAATTCTAAAAAATAATGCTGTTGAGTAAAGGCAAGTGAATGTTTTAATTACATCTCTTAACAAATCCATTAATTGAATATGATAATGGTGTGCTGGAAGCCAACCCATACAGAATTCAACCTTATAAATGAGTTCATTATCATAGGAACCAAAAAATTTCTCAATAAAATTTGGAAGCCATGGTAATAAGGAATATGACAACAATATGAATTTGGGTTGAGCAAATTATCCCAAATAATAAAAAAAATCCTGTTACTAATGAGGGGAGGGGAATACAGAGGGGAATACAGAAAACAAAAAACTTCACTTCACCAGCACTGTTATGCTGCGCTTGAATGCAGAGAAAAAATGAGATAAAAAAGATAGAAGAAAAGAAAATAATGAGAAAAATTATTTTCCTCTTCTGTTGTTTTCAGGAAAAGAAAAAAGAGAAAGAAATTGATTATTTTCTTCTTGTTTCGTTGGAATGAAAAATGAGAGGAAATAATAAAATGCACAATGTTAAATGACTATCTTTTTTATATAATAGTGGGGAGGTATGCTGATGGACAACTTATCATTTCCACATATTATCTTTCTCTCTACCATAGGAGAAAAAATCCTCACATTAGTTTTTATTTCCTGTTCCTCTTCTCTAATCAACCAAACAATGAAAAATGTAGTTTTCCTTTATACTTCTCTTATTAGAAATGGATCAAGCCTTCAATCCCAAAATGGAACTTAAGAGGGGAGGATTGTCAAGTCTTATAAGAACTACTTTAGCCATATTCCTAGCTGACATGGAACATCTTAGCAATTCTTCACCCATTCTCTTAACCAAACAAAGATTTGGATAAGGTAAGTACAAGCAAATGTTGAAGTCCGGCTGTAGTCTTTTTTGAAGCCAAAAACAGAACTCTGCTCCTAATGAGTTATTTGGAGGAAAGTTAGTTGCACTGAATGGGAAGGGTGCTGGAGGCCCATGATGGGGTTTGGAAGGGGAATTCAGTATTAAGGAGAGAAAGAGGGGAGAAGTAGGACAAGGAGAAAACTCATAATTCAGCCTCAAGCTTGGGCAAGGAAACTCTGGTTCCTAGTCAAAATCAAGATCCTACATATGATCGGAAAAGGGGTCAAAGATCATAACTCATAGGATCGTAACACGAATCATCAGATCTTACAAATTTACACATTCATATAAATTAGTATAAATAAGAAGGAAAAAAAAAAAAGATATTCAAGAAAAACAGAAAATTATAATTCATTTAAGGTCATACATAACTCATCAAACAAGAAACAATTTAAGTAAACTTCAAACTAAATACAAAATATCCAATGTTTCTAATATTCAAACACATGATCCAAACCAAAGTCTGAAATTTAGATATCTAATTTACCATATGTTACTCATAGAATACAAGTTGTGTAGTTAAAGTGGAGAAAGGCATTAGGAGTAATATCTGACCGTAAAGTACCTATCAAGCTAAAAGAAAAGTTTTACCACACTTCAATATGAATCTTATATGGAAGTAAATGTTAGGCCTTAAAGGAACAACACAAGAAGAAAGTAGAAGTGACAGAAAAGACAGGATAAGAAATGATAGTCTACGAGAGAGTATTGGAGTAGCACATATAGTGAAAAAGATAACTGAAAATCATCTAAGGTAGTTTAGTTACATGCAAAGAAGACATTTGGAGGCACCAATAAGGAGAGTAGATTGCATGACTTTTAATTCAGTTAAAAAGGGATGAGGGACACCCAAAAAATCTTTAGACGAAGTTATTAAAAGAGACATTTTGATTAAACAGAATTTTGAAAATACAGTTTTTGACTAAGCTCAATGGCGTGCGTCATGTGATTCATGTAACCGACCTCACCTAGTGAGATAAAGCTTGGTTGTTGTTTTTGTTGTAGTAATTTACCATATGTAAGAAGATGAAGATCAGAAACAGAGTACAGCAACAGAGAACAACTCCCACAAGCACAACAGCAGCACGTAACCAAAGCAGAACAGGATGCGCAGACCAGGCACCCATCCAAGAGCAGTAGAAGATGAACAGAAACAGAACAGCAATAGAGAACAGAAAAATGAGAAGAACAGAAATACTGAGCAGAACACTCACAAGTCCAGAACTGCTTGCAGCTCACCAGAAAATACTAGCAGAACAGCAGTCACATATTGGCAAGTCGCAGGTCACCAGAGCAGAACAAGGTTGTAGTGAGGCCAACTGAGTGAAATCACAGTGAAAATCAGAGGAAAACGAGTTTAGGGTTCTGGATCCCTTTCTATCAAACCAGGTCAGAAAATGGGTCCTTGGTCAGCAGGTCAAAATTCGACTTTTAAACACAGTGGGATTGCCTACTGATCCTACGATTGAGCATGCCAATCCCACCCAATTCCACCATTTTCCAATTCCGCTTGCAAGTTAGCATAGCATCAGGGATCATAGAATTGCACAATTCTACACATCAGCAAGCAATTCTGACTACCATCCTTGAGTGCTTTTCTTTTATTTAGTATAATTGATACTTTATTCATTTCTTTTGATTGTTGTCCTTATCAAGATTCAAGGTAACAAGCAGGGATCCTTATAAGATGGTAGAGATGGGAGTGTGCGGCAGTTTTTTGGCATTCTATTATCTTTCCTTTTGGCTGTAAACTGGGCAGAGGTTCTTTGCATTCTCCGAGGGAGCTAGGCTCTGGGATCACAGGGGTAAACATCCTTGTAATATTTCCATTTTATTAAATAAAACATATCCATCTCCATTTCATTTTTCAGACTCTGACAGTGACAAAAATGTAGGATAAATAGGTTTTCATTTTCACTCATTGTTACACTTTCCTGTCCAGCATGAGTAAAACCTTGTGGGGTAGAGTGCAAGTGTATAGCACTCTACTATTGACCATCTACATTTTATGGTGGTACTGAGTGAGTATGAAGCAGCTCTCTTTCTAAATTTTCTACCTTCTCCTTTTTCACCAATTCAAGCAAAACCATAACTTCAGTTTCATGATCCAGCATACCATGCAATTCCAAAGGGGCATTGTATAGAAAAATGTTGTTGACACAGTCAGTAGATACATAAAAGATTTCACCAAACAACAGAAGATGCCATTATTTAAGATCAATGAAGAGAAATTTCCAATACCTGTGAAGTGTATAAAGATTGCGAATACTTCTGTCTGCTTCTGGAGATAGATACTTGCCATTATCCCTATCAAGATCTAATTGCAAGGGGAACTCATAGCGGTCATTGATCTGTCACCAATCAAGTCAATCGCCATGCCAGATACAGGTGTCAAAAATTAAAAGAAAAGTTTACAAACAGTATAATAAACCAAGAAAAAGATTATTCAATTTATCATATATAGTAACCATATGCAATGGGAAAAAAAATAATCAAGGCAAGACACAAAATTAATACACATCTAAGACAGAAAACAACTATTGTATGTTTCAACTCTCAAGTACTTGAAAGTTAAAACCATTAAGCTTTAATTTATAAACAAAGTCTATAACATGATAAAGGACAAAAATTCCTGGATTAAAGAGATAGACAATCCCCAAAAATAAGAATAGCAATATCATTCTTGTGAGACAAAGATTACTAGATGAAAGTCAGAGAGAACCCCAAAATGGACATTTACTTAGAAATTTAAAAAATGGACTCTAAATGTAGTGCATTGAATTTTTAAAAATAAGCCAAATGACATTAACCACATCATTTACTAGAAGAAAAAAGGATAACTGCAACTAGCAAAGAAGAACCAAAACAGAAATGGTAAACACAGGTGAAAAATATGAGAAAATCAAAAGGAAAAAGATTTTTATTGATTCTTGAATTTTAAACTAACCTTTACCATGGTGTCTCGCATAAAATCATACTCGAAACGTTTTAATTGAAGCTGAAGGACAGGTGGGAAATCAATGAATAATACACCCTTCCTAGCATCCTGAAATTGTAGTCATAATCATGTTCTAGGAAAATAAACATTCTAAAACGTGAAAATAATAATAAAGAAAATATTAATAACAAAAGTAAAAGTTGTAAAAAAACTAATCAAACAGTAGTCAGTAATAATTCAAGTAAACAGTAAACTATAAACAAAAACAAAATAAAGACACAGGTTCAGCCTGAAGTTCAGCAGGTATCTACAGATAAAATAATGCAAGTAATGAAGTTCAGCCTGACAAGAAAAGGCAGAAAAACACACGGGTTCAAATTTTACCTGTAAACCATAATTCTCTGCCTGATACTTGTTATCCCCCTCAAGCCGTTCCACTTCCACATACTTATCGAAAGAAGCATACACATCCTTACAACCTTTCACATCAAGCTGAAGATCTATAATCAAATATCCAAAATTCTATAAGGTCCAAGCATACATGGAATGTTGTAGTAAACAACAGCATTGTAAAGGTAAAAATGCATACCATAAAATGATTCTTTTCTTGTTGATTTATAATCCACACCTATACATTCAATATAGTTCATATGGTGGCCTTCAAACAACTGCTGTATAGTGCCTTCCACAACAGTTCCCTGGCCAGGAGCAGACCTCAATAAATAATCTCCAAGATATAAAAAAGAATACACAAGTATCAAGAGTAAAAGCTACCTTAACAAGACAAAATAACAATACGAAGCCAGCATGAAAAATCCAATACCTTCATTTTGTCTTCCAGTTTTTCACAAAGAACCCTATTAAGTTCTTGAACATCATGCTGCATGAATGAATCATATGTATCCCATCCAAAAGACTTGGTTAACTCTTTCGTTGCTACACTAGTGTCACTATACTGCAATTTGTAAAACAAACTCTGTAATGCTAGAGGGATGCTTCCTGATGGCATATCATTTTCTGTTGTAGGCATATGGTACACGGCCTGAACAAACAATTTTATGCATTAGGTGTTTCCCATTTTGAAAAAATAAGAGCTTACCAGGTTATACGCTACTGGCTAACCTTTCGAAAATAAGGAATGTGATACAATGTCTGAAGCAGAGAATTCATGTAACAAGTAGCTCCTTGGTTTTTCAGTCCAACATAACCAGTTTCCTTTTTTGAGTCATGTGCCCAGTAATCAAGATCTTTACGCACAGCAACATCAGCCTCAACAACACATGTATCGTTCACAAGATAACCTCTAGTAGGATCATATAATTCAGCAAGCGGCATGAAATTAGTGAAACCCCAATCACTCTCACGTGCATTGAACTGGTGTTGTGTTTCTGGAATATGAAAAAATAATCAAAGTAGTTTTTCTAAATAAAGAAATAGAGGGAGGGAGAGAGAGAAAGAGAAAATCATCCTGAGAGGATGATAAGATATTCTCCAACAAACAGAAACAACTGAAAAACAAAGTAGAGAACCAAAGATACAAAATACAACATAACCGTCAAACCTCCCGGAATATCAGACAGGGAAATCTTGTAAAGAAACAGTATTGTGGGGAAACAAACAGAATATATATACAAGGGAAAAGCAAAAGAAGAAGATTTTGATTCATTAGTTGTGTCTAAAAAGAAACATATCCCAGAAACTCACACTGTCTTTGTTTGCTCATATAGGATGGAAAGAAATGCAATGGATTGAAATGAGCCAGAAGTGCATCACTAACATTGTTTGGTCAAAGTGTAAAGGCTGAATTGAAACACAACTTCGGAGGGCCCCATATAAATATACCCCCTCCAATTTGACGTGAAATATTACAGCAAGACCATTATTTTATTTTATTTTATTTTTGTTTCCATTGTTTAAAATATAAAATTATTTTTTATAACAGAAAAACAATAAATAATTTATATTATGAAAAAATAATATGTATTAATTGCATTCCACTCTTTCTTCCACCTATTCAAACAACCAAAGGGAAAAATTCTTCATTTCTTTCCTTCTTATTTCTTTCCATCCAAACAATATATTATTTATACTCTATTTTCAATTTATTTACATTCTTCCTATTTCTTTCATTCTCATTTCTTTCCTCCCTAATTCACTTCCTATCCAAACAAACCATAAGAGTGGAATACTAGCTGATTTTCTTTCAAATTTTCATTTACACAAAATGATTTTAATTTTCAAATTTTGATATAGTTTATCTTAATAATTCTAAAGCTGCCATCACAGTTCACAACTTCAAGGAGCTGTATAGTTTGAAAAAACATTATTTTTTTTTCATTTTCTCTTTTGACAATGGTTTTTCACCATTTCTATACATATATTTAAAACCAAGAAATATAATGAAAGCAATGAGACAATATTGTGATTATTAGTGAAAATAACAATTAAAATAGAAAAAGTTCTCTAAATAAACGAGCCCTTAATTTTTCATTTTGAAAAGGAATGAGGAAAATAATTATTTTTGTCAGGGGTAAAAGAGTATGGAATTATAACACCATTACAGACCTCATTCCATGGAACGGAATCAGAAAGATCAAAATTACATACTTGGTTGAATATGTATTTTAATTAGATTTTTGTGGGTATTTCTTTAAAGAAAAAACTTGCTCAATTAAAATGTGCTTAAAAAATTTAAGACAACTAGAAAATTTTTTTAATAATAGCTAAAACCCTGAAGAAAAAAAAGTTTTAGTACTATACTTACAAGTTAATAAGAGTAGCACATGAAAAACAGCTATTATCATAAAAGCACTCTCTTTTAAAAAAAAAAAAACACTTATCCTAATGCACACTAATTTTTAGGGGGAACAAAACATTTCAAAACATCTCACAGTAAGATTTTGATTATAAGCTTTGTTAAACACAAAACAAGCTAATCCGAACCCACACTAAATGGTACCTAATCCTAACTTTTATTTTCCCAATAAACCATCATTAATTTTATAACACAACAACTACCACCTTTTCTTTATATCTTTGTGATTTTTCCTCCTTTTTGTATCAGAAATAAATTTAATTTTAAACACCAACCTTTTTTTCAAACTAAAGTTAAACCTTAACTGGCACTTAGGACCAACTCAGCCATCCCAACTTCATAATATACTAATGGAGAAACAAATCCAGATAGTTGGATGTCCAATGTGGTGTACAGATACTGGTTGTCATAGACCCAAAAGAAACTACAGCTGAACCAACCCCTAACCCACTACTCACTCACATTTTTCCCAGTCAGGCCCAAAATTTCTGGCACGCCCACTGCTTGTTGCTGGTCTGCTCACCTACACAGGTCCAGGCCTCCGTTCAAGCAGGACTTCTAATCTGCTTTGATCTGACTTCTGATTCGCACCCTCAACGGTAAGTGTCTCTTTTTTCTGTATGTGTTGGGTACTTTACATTCCACTAATTTTAATTTAATTAGTTTTTCGTTCTATTAATTTCATCATCTTACTATATTATGCATCCTTAATTCCATTTTTATTGAATTGTTACTTTGGCCTTTGATTGATGCTGATTTAGTTATTTAATCTATAACTTTTGTTTATTAATTCAGGTGTACACAGCTTGGGTTTGTTCAGTTTTAGTAAAAACAGAATTTGAACAAATCAAAACTATTTGGTTCAGTTTGCAAGTTTTTTTTGCCAAACCCAAACTATAACCATAAAAAGTAGGTTGGTTTGGTTCAGTTGATAGGATTTGACATTTTTTTATTCTGCCAACAAAAATAACATTCCAAAACTAACACAAGGAAAGGAAGATCAGCTGAAGGAATTCTTCATTAACTATACTCTTTTCGCACCAATAAATGGGTCCTCCATGTGTTGTAGTAAATGGAAGCACCAGCATTATGCTGCAAGAATCCATTAACATTAAAAGGAAAAAAAAAAAGGAAAATAGGCATTTCATAAACCCCTCTCAAAGAATCATTTTATATTTTTTAATAAAATAATAAAAATGAAATCAATCCACAAAATGTATTAATTTTGAATATAAAGAATCAATGTGAGATAGATTTGATCTTGGGTACTAGAACTTTACAGAAACCAACAGAGAACAGAGGGGCTGAAGACCGGAAGACATAGAACAACAAAGATTGAACACAAAGATCAAGATGCAATGGAACAAGATAAGTTCATGCACTAAGAGATACAAAGGACTTTTGAAGTGGTAGACAATGAAGAACAGAATGGCAGCATCAGGTAAAAGGCAACCGGGTAAGGGTTTTTCCAACCTCGTATTTTCTAATATGTTAAAAATAATAATAACAACAACATTATCAATACTAATATTAATATGAGGCAACCGGTTCATTGGATATCAAGTCATCAATTCCAAATCATGGAACCCAAGACTCAAACCATTATTAATTGGTTTTCATTGGTTGAATTCAGTTTGAGTCCGACTATATGGACTAACCCAAACCAACTTAATTGGTTCCCTTTGGCTTTTCTAAATCATTATATTGCCAAATCAAGTAACACCTTACACCACTATTATTAATTATGAATGACTTTAATTTTGAGTAATTTTTTATTTTTGAGCATCCATGTGTGTAGCACAAATTATTTCTCTTGTATCTATAATCTTCAATATAGTGCCCATCTTACTATAGTGTTCTCAATGCAAGCTGCTCTGTGCCACTATCCACAATTGATAATTATGTTTCTCCTTTATCAATGATTACAGTCATGTGAATACTAGATACATGCATGAAGAACAATTATTTCACCACTTCACATTGATTTCATGCTCCAAAAAAACGGAAGAGATAAACCATTCCTAAAGTTACCAAACCATGGACTAGGAATGATTAATCAATTATAATCCATTCAGACTCCAATGAATCATCATCTTTCCTTCTACCTTCATGTTACAGTAACAATTAAAAGATAAAGGATTCCTTTTGCCTGACTACAAACTATTGGTATTTGCTTTTATAATGGAAGTGTAAATCAGGAACTCATTTCACATCAAATAATTAATATGAATTAAATGTCTGAAATGATATCAAATTGTCAAGACCCAATCCCCTTTCATTTTTAGGTCTGCATGCAACCCAACACGCTAGCTTAAATTATTTACAGTCCACAAAATAGAACCACTATTAAGGTTTTCTCAAATGATACACCTCATAAAAAAGAGGGATATTTAACTCCTTTGTCACTTGTTCAACTCGGTTAAGAAAATATTTCAATGAATACCAGCTGCAGAGAAATTACCTTTTCTGATTGAATATTTACTATGAATTTGATTAACAACAGTCAAGCTGAACTGGGCATATCTACTCCAACCATAAGGCAACATAGGTGAATCTGCAACATCTACATACATCGACATATGATCAACATTGTTCCCCTTTGGAAAGATAAGTATCCGCCTGCTCATTTCAATTAATGTCAATCAGGGCCAACATTCATAACAAGTATAACTTGGCACCCATACACATAAGATAAATACTGGGGTAGAAATGGACTTACCATTTGTAGCCCCCAACACTGAAAATGTCAGAATAAATTTTTTTTGTGAGCCTTGAAAAATTGTCAATGGTCCACGTGAATCTCGCGGATGGGGGGTCATCCACTGTGGGAGCATCAACCGTAGTCATGTTTTCTGCTTGGACTGCTACCAAAATTGAAAAGGAAAAAAAAAAGAAGCTAAGCAATAAAAACAAACCTAACCATTTGTCGGTTGTGCCAGATATGAAAAATATAAAGCAGAATGGAGCAATGGAACCAAAAATCTATCAACTGCACCTCCTGCCCGCCGGGCAAAAATCCAGAACTTTAAACACCACATGGAAGAAAGAGTCCCAAGGTTCAAATTACCAATCTTACCCAATCAAGAAAAAATACAGCGTAAAATAGAGTTTGCTTTTTTACCACACACGTTAAGCCCAACAAAATGGCAAGAACATCACCATTTGCCATTGCTACCCTTACTATTGCATCCAAACCAACCAACCCTATAGACTCGCACTTACCTTTGTCAACCTAAACACATACACTCACTCAACAAACTCGTAGCTAAATTGGCACCAGTCTCCCACTCTCAAAGCGCTATTTGGTACGAACATTTGTTGTTTTCACTAATAATTACATAAATATCACTCTATTTTCACTTACATTCCTATTTCCAAGTACTTCTGAAGGAACACACCCACCACCGGCCACATCCGACGCACATATAATGAAAAACAAACTAAACTCACATAAATTGAATGAAAAAGCAAGCAAATTCAATCAATACGACGCCATTTGAACACTCATTCACTGAACTTATCTCCGACAACAAGCATTACCGAAATTCAAAAAAAGTGACAATTACCTTCCATTGGTTGAGGACCTTCGGGCACGTCGGAGTTAGGAACCAGCATCTCATCGTCCTGCGGCTCCACCTGTTGCTGTCGCTGCACACAACAAAAACAAACGTCACAATCAAGAAACACGGATCCACTCATCAAAAACCCTAGCAACCGTCCACAGAAAAATCGAAACAGAAAAAATGAAAAATAAACGATGAAATGCAAGAACAGTATCTGTGATTTCAATTGAATTGAATTTGCAGAAAGGAAAGACAGAATCGATCGAGAGAGAGAGAGAGAGAGAGAGAGAGAGCTGGCTATTACATCTAATGGCGGAGGAGTCATTAGAGTCATGGGAAGGAAGAGAGTCACTGCAATGAGAGAGGAAACTTAAGAGAGAGAGTGAATTTTTTTATGATTCAGAAGTGAAGGAATGAATTGTGTTTGTGTTGGTATATATATAGGGACAGAGTGAGAGTGAGCGATGTTAAGAAGCAAAGCGGACCATGGTTTTCAGTAAGAAGGGCTGCTAGCGCACACAAAAGGATATTTCAGGAATTTCGTAAAAATCATTCGCCCAATTATTATACGTATTAGGACTGTTGTTCTCCGTACGATATTGTTTAAAACCATTTTTTATTTTTCAGTATTCACTCGTCTTAAAATTAATTTTAATAATTATGATAATTAGATATGGCCCTATTTAAGTGAAGATAAGTTTTTAAAAATAAAAAATCATTATTCTTTTACAAGTTAAAAATAATTTATATCTTTAAATTTTATACCAAATAAGAGAGTTTTTTACAACTTCTTAAAAAATAAAAAATATATAAAATTTATCAGTAATATTTTTTATTATAAAATTTTACTTGTTTTAAATTTTTAAACTCAAACTTAAGAGTTTAAGTTAACAAAACTGTAAAGTAAAATAATTTTATTAAAATACTCTTATTAAAAGTATTAGAGCATAGAATGACTCACAATTTAATTACTTGATCGTGTAAAGTATACATTAAATTATTGAGTGGTAAGCTCCCAAGACTTACTTTAAATTAAATTGCAACAAAAATTATTTAAAGATTGGGATTTAAGATAGATAAATTAATAATTATAATTTGTATCTCGTATATTTAATTTACAAAAGTTATTTGTAAAAATGGTAGATTAAAGTTTAAGAATTAATTAAAATTAAATTAAAGTTTAAGGTGCCTATTTACAAAATTGATAGTAAAATTTAAGGATTAATTAATATGAAACTAAAGTTTAGAATGTCTAATTTTAAAAGAAATATAGCTTAAGCAATAACAGGGACAAAACTAAAAAAGAAGATGTCTATTTATAACAAGAATGTGAAGGTTAAGGAGGTTTAATACTATTTTCCCTAAAAGAGGGACAATTTCTGTTCCACAAACATTTTCCAACATGAAAATGTAAAGAAGAAGGAGAGACATGTGATAGGTTTCTTATTCCTGATTTGCCTCATTACACTTACAATAGACCATTATGCAAAGTCAATTGCCACAAATCGGTGCCTAGTAGTACTCTCTCAATTTTATATATCAAATTAGAGCTACAACCTGACTCATTTGCATTACCCCACACTAAATCACGCTCATAGCCGAGTTAATCCTTCACTTATCTTTTTTGCGAGTAAAGAAAATGTAAATTAATTTTAACCCTTCCAGGCAACTTAAAAGAAATAATTTTTTATAAAAATAAAAATAAAAAACATAAAAATTGAGAATTTTAAAAAATTATAAAATTAATCAAATATAATACATTAACATAGATTATTATCAATTATAGTGTATATCTTAAAAAATATATAATTTACTTATGTATTATTGTATTAAAAATATATAAATATAAAAAAATACACTCATATTATATATATATATATATATATATCTTAAAAAGTATATAAAGTATATAATTTACTTATGTATTATTGTATTAAAAATATATAAATATAAAAAAATATACTCATATTATATATATATATATATATATAAAATATTGTGATAGATAGAGAAGAGTAAATGACACTCTAATATTGAAAATAATTTTGTTATAATTAATTAAAAAAAAGAAATGCAAGAAAAAGTATTTGACAATAATTTATATTTTAAAAATAATATGGATGAAAGTGATAATTTTACAATTTCTAATAGAAAAACATATTTTTATTATTAAATGAATAAATCATCACTTTAATTCTTAAAATGTGTAATTTAATTGAAATTGATCCTTAAAATTTGAAATTTAAAATTTTAGTTTTTGAAATTAACAATTATTAATTATGTTACTTCTTAGAATTAAAAGATGTTAAAATTGAGTAATAGAGGGATGATTTGTCATGTTAAATGACACATGACAATTTATTTTTTTACACAAAATGATGTCATTTTATAATTTTATAAATAGCTTAGTTCCGTTCCTAATTTTTAACATTTTTGAGTAATAAGATCCTTATTTAACCTTCTTCTTTTTCTCCTGTCGTGGTTGCATTGACGCTCCTTCTTTCATGGTATTCATTTCACCTTTCTTTCATAATAGCAGCCTTACTCTTCCTTTTTCTTCACAATTCTCTCTTCCATTCAACCTAAAATCTCATCTTTTTTCTCCTAAACACAATTTAACAAACTCAAGCTATCATCAATTGAAACATCATCTTTCAACTACCTCTCTTTCCACTACTACACTCGTCAAAACTAACTTCAAATATAACATTTTTGTCAACCCACTTTACACCCACACTCCCTAGATCCATTACCCCCTTAACCCCTCTAACATCCAATTATAGAAAATTATCCTCCACTTTAACAAAATCATTTTCTATTATGCCTCTTTTCTTATCCAATTTGTTTCAAACCTTTCGGGAGAGGCTTGGATTTGGTGGTTCATATGACAATACAAGCCATTGCAAAAGGGAGGAAGAAGACACCATAGAAGAATGGCGAAACAAAAGATGAAGAAAGGATCTTGTTGACCAAAAATGTTAAAAGTTAGGAAAGAAAATGAACTATTTTTTAAAAATTATAAAATAACATTATTTTTTATCTACAATGAATTGACATGAGTCACTTAACGTGACATATCATCACACAGTTACTCACTTTTAACATCTCTTGACAAAAGGGATTAACACGATTGACGATTTCTAATTTTAAAGACTAAAATTTCAAATTTAGAGAATTAATTAAAATGATGCTGCATATTTCAAGGGTTAAAATGAACGTTTATTCGAAATTAGATATATATAATTTTGAGAATTTTGAGTGAAGGTAGTGCAAATAAAAAATTATTATAAATTTTATAAATATAAATATTTATGAGAAGTTTGAAGTTTAATAAAGTAATAAAAAAATTATAATAGATATTAAAAAAAATAAAAGTTTATATAAAGTAATAAAGGAAAGTTATATAGCAACTTTAATCTCTCAATTTTAGCATGAAATTATAGGAGGTAAGTAACAAGTAAAATCATATGCCCTTGAGAATTCCCATTGACTTCATGTAGTAAATAGGAATCTTGTAAATGGATGATTGAGCCAAAGAAGAATTTTTCTAATTTTGTAACTCAGTTTTAACCTTCTCATCAAAAAGAAAAAAAAATTTAGCATTTGAAGGTTAATATAATGTACATAATAGGATGCCTAAATAATTTCTAAGGTCTTGAGTAGGATAAAATCCTAAATTCTCAAAATACATGTCCTAGTGCTCATGTCTATATTGTAGGGAAAAAATATTAGATTTTCCTAATTGATAGATTGGCTTATTGCTATATAAAAGATATTGAAGATACACTCAAAGGTGAGTGATTTATTTATGCTAACTTCAAAAATTAAAATCACATCATCTTTTTTTTTCTTTTTAAAAAAAGAGCTAATTTTGGGTCAGATTTGCCAAATTTAGGAGTTCAAGTACCATTTATGCATATTTTCAGTTTAATCAGTTTTTTATTTTTTTTAATCGATTTAATATTTTGAAAATAATTTGATTCAGTTTTGAACACTCTATTTAAAAGTATTCATGTTTAAATAAAACTCTTAAAAATACTCTTATTATAAATGCAAATCGGTCTGATTTGTTTAAGTTTTAAAAATGAGAACTCAATATTGAACAAAATTGCAATATAAAATAAAAGATTTTCTTTGTCAATTTAATTGATTTTCAGTTTAATCAATTTTTTTATTTTTTAATGGATTTAATAGTTTTAAAATGATTTGAATAATTTCTGAACACTCCTATTTAAAAGTATTCATGTTTAAATAAAACTCTTAAATACTTTTATTTAAGACTGCATATTTAGAAATAATATATAAAAGTTTAGAGGTTGACCTTGTCGAATAATAAAACAGATTTCTTATTATTAATAATGAAAACATTTTTATTATATAACTCCTTTCTTAATATACATATTGTTATTACTATTATTTAATAATGTTTCTATCTTATTATACATTTTATTTGTAACTTAAGTTTAAAAATACAAAAAATTTGGCAACAAAAAAATTCTTTCTATTTTGTCTCATGAATAGGAATGACAATGGGTAAAGTATTCGATCGGTACATTTAAAATTTAACATAACAGGTAGAATATTTATTCGTTAAACTGGTACGAGGGAAGTACTGACAAACTTTAATGAGGATAAGTGCACTGACAAATTTTAATGAAGTTAAGTGCATGTACGGGTAACTAAGTACTCATCCTGCCCCATATCTGTATATATTAATATATATATATATATATATATATATTATTAATTACTGATGTGAAATTTTATCTATACTTAAACTTTGTTCTACAACTATGTATTAAAATTTTATTTTATTATGCTACTTATGTAAAATTATATAAGTATATTTTTTTTATTAGTGATTGTATATGATATTGATTTATTTTTTATATGATGTACATAGCATTCATGATTAATTAATTTTTTTATTGCTTACACACCTTTGCTGTGCATTTTTTTATTATTTAGTAGGAATAAATATTAACCATCAAGTCATTTTCAACAAAATTAGGTTTTATTTTTTATTTTTTCTTCCTTTTATTGTGTTTTTCACATAATGTGTGTTTAGAATATAAATAATTTTCTGTTTATATATCACGGTTAAAATATTATATTAATATTGTAGACTTTTATATTTTTTTTATATTTTGAGTATAATTTTTTAGTAATAGATCTTACTTATGTGAATATCAAAGGAAGTTAACAAGATAACAATATTTGATTTTAAAATATAATACTAACATGTGTTGTTTTATAAAATTAACATAAAAATATATTCATTAATAAAATAAATAAAATATAATTTTTTTATATTTTTAATAAAAATTTTATTTATTATTTTATATTATTTGATTAGGCTAATACAATTTAATTATTATATGTAAATAGATCTTATTTTAATTATTTTTTAGTATAATTTTTAGTAATAAATCTTACTTACGTGAATATCAAATAAAGTTAACAAGATATCAATATTTGATTTTAAAATATAATACTAACATATGTTGTTTACTTATTTTATAAAATTAACATAAAAATATATTCATTAATAAAATAAATTATATAATTTTTTCCATATTTTTAATTAAAAATTTTATTTATTATTTTATATTATTTAATTAGGCTAAAATAATTTAATTATTATATGATTGATATGAGATTAAATTTTAAAAATAATTATTTATATATGATACACATATAAAATACTTTTTAAAATTTAATCTCATATCTATTTTTTTTAAATAAAATTATATTAACATTTAAATAATAAAATGCATGATAAATAATAAATATATTATAAATTTTATAATAAAAAACTTATTATTTATTGATAATATTTACATTTTATTTTTTATATAATATTTTCTTATACAATATATATGTTATATGTTATAAGTATAATTATAATATATTAAATTTAAATAATAATATTATTATAATTTATTTATATTTAAAAAAGTTTTTTAAAAAATATAAGATATAAAAATATTGTCAATTCTTATTTTTATTTGTTTTAATAGATTTATTATATATTTTTATTATAATTTACCTGTTAAATAATTTAAATTAACTTAGTATAATGAGAAAGAAAGCTAACTCTTAAAAATACTTACTTAAAAAAATAATCTTAAAAACAATCTCTTTTTAAAAATTGTGCATATAAAAGTTGAAATCCAATTTAAATTTCAAACCTAATTGTTAGCATGTTATGTCAAAATAATGAACAGAGAAATAATATATTTTAATTTAAATAATTTATTTTATAATTTAAATAATAAGAATAAAACAAATATTTGAAAAAAATCTTTAATATACCATTTAAGAAAAATGTTAACTAATTTTTGAAGGGATAAAATTAAGACTCACAATTTAGAGAGAGATGGTTCTATTTGTGTCCTGGAGAGGTAACGTTGGATTCCATTACGCAACAAAATCCTAAATATAGAGCCAACCACAGCACAGCAACGACCTTATCCATTAGATGTTATGAATAGTCAACGATTGGCATGCATGCATGACTCATACGTGCAACTTCTCCTATTTCAACGCACCTTCCGTTTTGCTTAACCAATCCCACTTCACGCGCGTTCCCTTTCATCCACTCACCTCTCTTTATATATATACACACACAAACACCTTCCAATATTCACTCCCCTCACAAACCATGACGACCCTTTTCCCAAACTCGCGTTTTCTCTCACATGCACTCTTTCTCTCTCTTTGTCTCTCCTTTTTGGCCTTTGCATTTGCCATAGACATGTCCATCATAGACTACGATGCTAAAGTGGAGGGCATGAACGAGAAACGCATGAGGGACATGTACGAGGCGTGGCTGGTGAAGCATGGGAAGGTGTACAATGCTTTGGGTGAGAAGGAACATAGGTTTGAAATTTTTAAGGATAATTTAAGGTTTATTGAGGAGCACAATAAGATGGGAGAAAAGGGTTACATGTTGGGACTGAACAAGTTCGCTGATCTCTCCAATGAGGAGTATAAGGCTATGTTTTTGGGTGGGCGATTGCGGAGATCAGATAAGGGACTGTTTGGGAAGAAAAGTGGTCGTTATGCTTATCGTGAGGGCGAGGCATTACCTGATATGGTGGATTGGAGGGAGAAGGGTGCTGTTGCTCCTGTAAAAAATCAAGGTCAATGTGGTGAGTTTTTCTTGCTCAGTTCATTGATTTTTGAGTAAAATATGCCAATTTGTTTCTGAAATTTAAGTTATTAGATATGACAAAATATGAAAAACGTTGTTCAATTTTATGTTTTTATATTTTTTATGAATTGATTTGACTGATTTTAAATTTTTGAATGGCTAAAAGTTTGAAAATTTACTTAGAGAAACGGAAGTTACACACTTTTTGAGATAAGAGTATTGAGAATCGGGTTTTTTCAAAGCGGAAATTTTTTTGTTGAAACCGACCTTCATTTGCAGTGGAGTTGCAAACAGGCCATAAAATAACGTTTTACTTGAGGAATTTATGTTGATTTTGTCGTGCATGTAGAGGGGAATGGAGAATTTCTTTTCTTCGGGCAACAACGATGTTTATTGATGAATTGCTAATTTCGTTTTCTCATTTGATTAAGAGATTTTTCTTTTAAATTTTGGATGAATCAATTATTAATATTAAAAGCATTGATATATGGAAAACAAATAGATATGTCTAGGAATGAAATATATTTTAAAACGGAATTAATAAATAAAATTAATTTTGTTTCAACGAAAGAAATATTATTTTCAAATTAAAGTTCATTTAATGAAGCGTGTTTTTTTGCGAAATTTGTTGACTTTTATTGTCATTTGTCTAGACAATTATCTTTCTGTCAATGAACACTAGCAAAGGCTTTGTTTTGTTTACGTTCTTTTTTGTTTTTGGTGAATTGTTTTGTTTGTTTTAAGAAAGATGGTAGCTTTCCTTTTGCTTGAGAAATTCACGTGCATAAGATGGAATTTGTGATATGAAATGTGTGTAATGATTGAGTTAAATTGACTCTTGTCTCATTGAAGGGAGTTGTTGGGCATTCTCCACGGTTGCTGCGGTTGAAGGAATCAACAAAATTGTAACCGGTGATCTCATTTCCCTATCAGAGCAAGAATTGGTGGATTGTGACAGAGGTTACAACATGGGGTGCAATGGAGGGCTTATGGACTATGCATTTGAGTTTATCATACAAAATGGAGGCATTGATACTGAAGAGGATTATCCATATCGTGCTCGTGATCAAACGTGTGATCCAAACAGGGTACGTTTCATTTGTCCCATCCTTTGAGCTTTTGTTTTCAGATATGTGACAGTGATAGTTAGTTTATGCTTTTGAAAAAACAAAGGGGAATATACCATGGAATTCAAACAAATCCTTATGAATCAATAATTAAACATGCATTTCAAGCATAGACACTTTTAATATTCTTTTTTTCATTTTTTGTACCAATGCTAATTGGAATACTACAATAATTAGATAAAAATTTAATATTTTATTATGTTTATAATAACTCATATCCATTTTTAACCCAAATTTTCTTTCACGATTTAAGTTTTTTATTTTATGTTAATGTTAGTATAATTTTATACAATGTATTATAGCCATTTGTTGTCTTATGATCTTTAAAATTCATTGTATATCAGAAAAATGCTCGAGTTGTTACTATTGATGGATACGAAGATGTTCCACCAAATGATGAGAAATCCTTGATGAAGGCCGTTGCAAACCAACCTGTTAGCGTTGCCCTTGAAGCTGGTGGCAGGGCGTTTCAACTTTATCAATCGGTAATGTATCTGTCTGTGACCAAAGTTAGCCTTTTTCATATTGATTGTCTAATATTAATTATTTAACTTAGCTAATGAAAGCGGATAAGATCTCTAGATACAAGTTATTGTTCCAGGGTCGGATAAGATTATCTAAGATCAAATATTCAAATGGTTTAATTAATAATAAGAATTGGTGAGCTAAGAGGTCCAAATGACTACACTAAGGAATCATGCTAGCATAGTTTATTGAAGGTGTTGACTTGATTTTGAATGATTGTATTCCACCTTTCCCAAACTTCTTGATTCTTTTTCTGATGCGTTGATGCAGGGTGTTTTCACTGGTCTATGTGGAACAGGGCTAGACCATGGTGTTGTGGTAGTTGGGTATGGAACAGAAAATGGTACTGATTACTGGCTAGTGAGGAACTCTTGGGGTCCAGAATGGGGTGAGGATGGTTATATTAGAGTAGAGAGAAATGTGTTAGAAACTAACACTGGTAAGTGTGGAATTGCAATGGAGCCATCTTACCCCATAAAGAATGGTGCTAACCCCCCAAATCCTGGTCCTTCTCCTCCATCTCCGGTAACTCCTTCAACTGTTTGTGATGAGTACTACTCTTGCTCCCCTGGAACCACATGCTGTTGCCTTTTTGAGTTTAGAGGCTTCTGCTTTGGATGGGGATGCTGCCCCATTGAGTCTGCAACATGCTGTGATGACAAGGCTAGTTGCTGCCCTCCTGATTACCCCATCTGTGATAATCAAGCTGGAACTTGCCTAATGGTAATTTCTTCTCTTTTATTTGTTTTCCTATAACCTTAAGTTATTTCAATCAATTGTCACTTGAGGGTTCCTAATAACACACTATTTTATAATGTCATGCCAACACATTCTTTATTATTAAATGAAATTCACATAATTCTCACTAATGTGGGATTTGTTTATGGTGTAGCTAAGAATAGATTAGAAATTTTGTTACTAATTTTCCTCCATGCATCAGAGCCAAGGCAATCCATTTGGAGTAAAAGCTTTGAAAAGAACACCTGCTACACTTACTTGGACCCAAAGGAAAGCTGCCATGCAAAGTAACCATGCATGATATAAGCTAGTGAATATTGAGGAACAAACTTTGAGGCATGAGTGTCTGTAACTGTGCCTGTGCTAGAGAAAGGCATCTCCTTGAACTTGAATAATCAGTCATTGTTGGCTTCCATGCATATCTAGATGTAGCTGAAAACAACACTTTCATTTCCCAACAGTTGTTGTAAAGTTCTCTATAACTGCTCAAGCAGTGTGCAATTTGGATATTGATGCTTTTAATGGATTGTATATAATTGGTTCCAAACACTTGTCCATCTGTGTGTTTCTTTCATTTTCATTTGCGGTTTCAAAATAGATGCTCATGCGCCTTTGTTTGCTTTGTGTAATTAGATTTAGTGCATGTTTGGATTAGTTTTTTCTAAAAGAGGAATAATCATTGTTGGGACCAGAGTATCAGTATAATAACACACAACTAAAATAAAAGATGGAAAATAAGAGCCAATAAAGACAATATAAAATTATCACAGAAGAAAAAATTACACTACTCCTTACTCTAAAATTTATTCCTCAAAATAAGAGACTATTACTACCAAGTACAAGCTCGGTGTAATACAAAATAAAAGGGAAAGAGAGGATTTTGGGATGATGCTTAAGGAACCCTTAAGCCTCCTTTTATAAGCCAAAGGAGGTCCTCCTAATTGAACTCCCACCGATGTGGGACTAACAATTCTCCCACTTGAAGATTATGATTAAGTTAATCATATTTTCACACACATTACTAATATATATATTACAATTACATGTTGCTTATATTCCTAATAGGCCATACAAGGATCGACACCATGTAAACTTGTCATTGTTCATTGGCTTTGTCATTATGTCTGCTATGTTGTCTTTGGTGTGAATCTTTTGCATATCCACTCTACCTTCCTCTACTACTTCACGAACAAAGTGGTATTGTATACCTATGTGCTTTGTTCTGGAATGAAAAGCTGGATTCTTCTGGAATGAAAAGCTGGATTCTTTGCAATATGCAAAGCACTTTGACTGTCGCAATACACAGTTGTAGTCTGCTGTTTGTGCCCAAGTTCCTCCAATAGCCTTTGAATCCATATTGCTTCCTTGCATGCCTCAGTAGCTGCCATGTATTCAGCTTCTGTAGTAGACAAAGCCACAACAGTCTGCAACTTAGATAACCAGCTTACTGCCCCTCCAGCAAGTGTAAACACATAACCAGTAGTAGATTTCTTTTTATCCAGATCTCCTGCAAAATCTGAATCAACATAGCCTTTCACAATAAATTCTGATCCTTCAAAACATAATGCAATATTAGAGGTTCCTTTTATGTATCTAAGGATCCTCTTTACAACATTCCAATGCTCTCTACCAGGATCTGCCATGTACCTACTGACTGCTCCCACTACTTGTGCAATGTCTGGTCTAGTACAAATCATGGCATACATAAGGCTTCTCACCGCTGATGCATACGACACTCGAGACATTTCCATCCTCTCCGCTTCGTTGCTAGGACACATACTTGAGGATAATTTATAACTGACAGGAAGTGGGGTAGAGATTGGCTTACAGTCTTGCATATTGAAGCGCCGCAAGACTTTACGAAGATAATTCTTTTGAGAGAGCCAAATCTTCCTATCTTTTCTGTCTCGGTGTATTTGCATCCCTAAAATCTTGTTTGCTGGTCCTAAGTCCTTCATATCAAACTCCCTAGCTAATTGTGCCTTCAATTCTTGAATTCGATCTTTGCTGGGGCCTACCACCAGCATGTCATCCACATACAACAACAAAATGATGAAATCATTATCACCAAACCTCTTGTAATACGTACAATGGTCTGAACTCAGTCTGTTGTATCTGAGGCTAATAATGAAGGAATCAAATCTCTTGTACCAACACCTTGGCGCCTGTTTTAAACCGTACAGAGATTTGGTCAACCTACAAACCAAGTCTTCCTTTCCTTGTTCTTCAAAACCTTCTGGTTGGAGCATATATATTTCCTCTTCAAGTTCTCCATGTAGAAAAGCAGTCTTTACATCAAGTTGCTCAAGATGTAAATCAAATGCAGCACACATTGCCAGAACAATTCTGATTGTGGTTAATCGAACAACTGGAGAGAATATCTCGTTGAAATCAATGCCTTCTTTCTGAGCATATCCTTTAACCACTAATCTTGCACGATACCGCTCCACTTAATCATTACCATCTCGTTTGATTTTATAGACCCATTTACAACCAATGGCTTTTCGATCTTTTGGAAGTTCAACAAGTTTCCATGTCTTGTTTTTATGTAAGGCCTCAATTTCTTCCTGCATTGCTATCATCCATAATGAAGCATCTGAACTCCTCAAAGCCTCATGAAAGGTTGATGGTTCTCCTTCATCTGTTAGAAGACAATATGCATCGTGGCTTGCCATCACATAGTCTGAGTGCCAAGATGGTCTCCTTATCTCACGTCTTGTTTGTTGAGTTTCTCCATCATTGGCATCATTTGATTCTTGTTCTCCGTGCTCTTGTTCTGCTTCAGAGTTGTCATCTTCTTTAGCTTTCCTTTCTATCACTATTGAAGTAGTGTCTTTGGTAGTACTGTCATCTTCCTGCTCCTTTTACAGTTCATTTTCTGCAAAGACTACATCTCTGCTAACAACAACCTTGCAGGCAGTGGGATCCCACAAGCGATACCCCTTAACATTGTCAGCATAACCCAAGAATATACATTTCCTGAATTTTGGATCCAGTTTTGTTCTTTCTTGGGAATTGTACATCACGTATACAGGACATCCAAACACATGTAATGAAGAATAATTAGGTGGCTTTCCATTCCATATCTCCATTGGTGTCTTCAAACCAATTATTGTTGATGGTGATCGGTTTATTACATAACAGGCAGTTTTCACTGCTTCTGCCCAGAAAGATTTAGCCACTCCTGCTGTTCTTAGCATAGCTCTTGTTCTTTCTAGAAGAGTTCTGTTCATCCGCTCTGCTACACTGTTGGGACCAGAGTATCAGTATAATAACACACAACTAAAATAAAAGATGAAAAATAAAAGCCAATAAAGACAATATAAAATTATCACAGAAGAAAAAATTACACTACTCCTCACTCTAAAATTTACTCCTCAAAATATGAGACTATTACTACCAAGTACAAGCTCGGTGTAATACAAAATAAAAGGGAAAGAGAGGATTTTGGGATGATGCTTAAGGAACCCTTAAGCCTCCTTTTATAAGCCAAATGAGGTCCTCCTAATTGAACTCCCACCGATGTGGGACTAACAATCATTTATATTCCAAAAGTTCATTAAAAATAAGCAATGATTTTCTTAAAATAAGCTAAACTAAAAATGTAATTACAGGTTCGAGGCATCCTCCACACCCTATAACTGGGAGTCTTAAATAAAATTGCTGGTTCAGTGCTTTGACATTTCTCAACCTGTAGAGTTTAGTCTACTTGCAAGTTCTGTATCTAATCAATTAGTTAAAGGAAGCACAAAGCCACATGAACAGATTTAATTAAACTCTATAATCTATATATACTTATTCCCTTGCTTACTCAAGCACTCATAGTGGAATTATCATCATGGAATGCTGCTCCTATCACTGGTCCCAAATCATTTAAAAGAATAGTCACAACTGAACTCTGATTAAGAAAGCAACATCACAGGATAGTCACGAACACACTCCAATTAAAATTTATTAAAAATTACCGAAGAATGAGTAAGAATTATTAAATTAGGAGTAAGACTGTATAACAACTTTAATTTAAGTTTTGTTATTCTCAGGCGGCATAAGGGCCGAGGTTAAACAGTAACGATGTCTTTCACTTTCTGTAAAAATGACATGTGAGATACTTTTAATTAATTACTTCATTCATTAATAATTAATTACTTATTTATTCATTGTATTTTTTATAATATTTAAAAAAATTTAGTACACTAATTAATTGTTTAATTTTTATTATAATTTTTTTTATCTTTATAATCTATTTAATTCTCTTCTTGCACTTTACATCTTTTTTTTTTGTCAACCAAACTTTTAAAGAAATTCTTATAAAAAAATATCTTATAAGGAAAAAAAATAGTATAAATTTTTTTTCTCAAGTTTTAGAGGAGTTATATGAAAGTTTTAAAAAAATAAAAATAATTTAAGAGAAAATTTTTATTCATTTTTTATATTAATTTTTTTACAAAGATTTTTCTAGAAATTTATCCAAGCTTAATTGATATTAAAAATAAAAAATTTAAGATGGATATTTGAAATTGTCTGACTATTGAATAAAAGTTTCACCTTTCCTTTTATGATCTGTTCTCTTTTCAAGTGATTTTCTTTTATGATATATTCTCCTTTCAAGTGATTCCAAATATGTTTTATCTTTTTTTTCGTCATCTTTCTCACTATTATTTATCTGATGTCTACATATTCATACTTTTTTACCGTAATATTACCAAAAAAAAATTAAAATACTAAAATAGACCCTGTTGCAATTTATTTACAAGACTAGACCACATTTTTTAGCTATCTTGGAAACCGAATCTTGAGTTAATTTTTATTTTTTATAATAATATAAATATTATTAGTTTAAGTATATTTATATATTTATATTATTTTATTTTGTTAAAATAAATATTTATAATATGTTATTTTAATAAACATTTATAAATATTTTGTTAGTTATATATAATAAAATAAGTTTATTATTTGAATTATGTTTATATTTTTATATTATTTTAAAATAAATAAAAATAATATTAATTTTAAATGTTTATTAAAATTTATTTGACATATTTAAGATAATAAATAATATTTTTATTTTTCTTATTATATTATTCAATATAATTTTTTTGAAAATAATATTAATATTAAATTTTAAAATTATATTTTTGGTTATTTAATATTATATTTTTTAAAAAATAAAAATTACAACAACAATTTATTTAAATTTAAATTTGTATAAAAAATTATAATAAAAATTTATTTAATATTATATATTTATAATATAAATAAAGTATTAAATAATAACTAGTTTATTTATTTATTTTGAGATATTAATATTTA